AGGCGCCTTGGCGCACTACCACAACAAAATTCAACCATCCCTATCTTAAAGAGGTATCCGTTAAGCCTACAGGGGCCTGTTCGGAGCTGTGCGACTAACCCTGCCCCCACGCGCGTTGATTCGATCCACAGCAGACAAATGCAGGCACCGTCGTCAGTGACAGGCTGATTCTGGTATAGCCCGTTAATGCGGGAAGCCTGGCTAACGTGCCCGAATATCTTACCATCATTGTTATGGTAGAGGAGGTTGAGACAGCAACAATGCTCGCATGGATTATTTCTAAATTCCCAAAGTTTCTGCGCTATTTTTAATTGAGACCAGCTTTCATTAGTTAAATGCCAAGCTTTAATATCCCTTTAGCAGGTCTTTTTTGTTCCTTTCTGGATTGCCTCCCCTTTCTGGTATGCTTTCCCTTTTCTGGAGTGCCCTCCATTTTGTGGATGCCTCCCTTTTGCGAATGTCTCCCTTTTGGGAATGCCTCCCTTTTGGAGTACCTCCCATTCCAACAAGCTAACTATAACTAGGACAGGACAGGAGATGGGCGACGCGCCACGTTCAAAGCCACCGTGTTTCATCCGTGACCGACAAGGAATGATCCCGTGGCCACCAAACCATGCCGCCTGCAGGGCATTGCCATACCATCCTCCTTAAGCATTGACATCTGCTCCGTCGAAGAGGATCTGGCAGTCCCAGTCGCATGCAGCCGATTCAGCCAGCCAAGCATTAACCTCTAATCGATCTAGGCCAAGGAATTACGACCTCCTCGGCGTCAGTAGTAGAAAAGAAACATAAACCGTTTAGCCATCTCTTTGGTACAGCCCTGGGTGGCCCATCCACAGAGCCATTGTAATCTATTTCCAGAGATGTATATTTTGAGCAACTGCTCAGCAGAAGATTCCCTTGGGTAATTTCCTTTGCGGGGGCCCAAGACGTTAAAGCGAAGCACTCGTTACTCTGCCGATCGACTCTATCTCTGACGAAAATTGCAGTATAGGGAGAATTCTTATCATCACAGCAAACACATCCCAGGCGGAGCTGTCTGCCATCTCGAATGGCTCGAGCTACGCTGATTGCCATCACGTACATGATATGTTTCCAAGTCCAGTCTTCCACGTAACCATCTGGCGCGATATTCTCAAGAAAATCCATCAGGAAGCGCGCGAGTACTCGATACGATCTACTCTCACCATAGAGGAGCCAATCAACGAGAATCCAGAGCGCTTGATGTTCATAATAATCGAGGCATTTGCGTGAATGTTCCCAATAGTGATGTCTGTTGATTTTCTCACGTATCTTCGGATGGAGGTGACACTTATTGATTATCCTCCCCATCGTAGAAAAATGGTGTGGATCGATTTTCTTCCTCAGTTTCCAGATGATGCCCTTGGTTTTAATTCCAGCTCGAGATAACGTGACGTTCGGAAAGCGGCAATGTTTGATAAATGTAAGTCCCTTCTCCTCAAGAGGTAGCTCAACATTCAAAGTGTTATGCTTCAAAAATTCGAATATATTGCCAATAAAGTGTTTTCTAGGGGGCGAGTTATGGCGCAAAATCTCACCATTGAGGACATAAAGCGTGAGAATCGAAAGACTTAAACTCTCCCTTTCTTGCTGCAGTTTGTTGGTATTCAGTCGTTCTGAGTAGTCACAAGCGTTGGGGGCGATTGCGAGGATATCGGAGGTATATTCCATATTCCGTCTCCCAATTTCCTCGAAGATGGTCGGCGACATGGCCTCTAGAGTCATGCCAGCAGTGTTGCGAGGGAGCAAGATGTTGTATTTTCCCGCCTTCTTCAGGATCTCTGTACACTTATTTTTCTCCCCTTCCGAAACTCCAGCTCGTTGACGAAACGCTAGACAGAATCGAGTGGCTTCTTCACGGAATTCAACAGCTCCCACTTCAAGCTCGCCAGGAATATTGCCGAATCCCATAGACGACGATTTTAGGCGAGTTGATTGTGATGAGCGGATAAGAAGGCGCATGCGAACTCCGGAGAGGTACTCTTCTTGGAAGATCCAGGCCCTTTCCCACCACATGTCCTTTACTATCAGATCAAGGACTTCTAACACTTTCCGAGCCTTCTGGAGAGAAACGGCCAAACTGTATTCGTCATTTCCTCGACGGTTCTGCCATTCCGTAACGCAACTTCCGCACATCAGATCGCGAAGACATTCTACTTCTTCCTTCGAATCAATGCGCACAAATAATAAACCAAGCGACAGCGCGCTTTGCTTATATATCATGTCCATTGATTGGATTGCAATTTCTTTTTCATCACTGCCATCTAGCTGGTCGATACATAGTTTATCGATCCAGAAAGGCATACCTTCGACATCGGCAAACTTTGTGACCCTATCTAGCACCACATCTTGAGGATATTTAAGTTCTTTCATGTCACAGTCCGGCTCGATCCGATACTTCCCTGTCACGACATCGTTAGGCCTAGGAAGCTGCCAAGGGCAAGACACGGCAATATAACCCTGTCGCGGTTGAACATAACGTAGCTCGATTGCTCCATCCACATCGTCCCAAAAATACTGTCCATTTCTTCTCTTACGTCTTTTCTCAACACATCGTCGATTCAATGTCTTTCCTCCGGATGAGTAACCCTTTCTCTGAATGTCCAACATTCGGTGATACACAGGCTTGTCCAATTGCGCACATACATCCCGAAAATCCCAGTCAATGTCGTTCCACATTGGTTCGATCGATCGAGTGGGAGGCGTTATGAAGCGGTTCGCATCTAAAGAGCGGCACTGAGCATAAGAAATATGACTTTTCAATTTCTTGGGGTTCAGTGTGCTCAGTGTTGCGAGAAATTAAGAATTCGTGGCCGACAAGGTAGGTTTCCTCTAATCGCGAGGCAGGGTTATACTACAGCTTTTTGTGCCGCATGCGTCTCGCTGGGAGAAGTTGTCAACTTGGAAAGAAGGTCACGTATGCACGGGTGCGGGAGGAACTTCGGGTATGCGTTGGGACCGCCAACTTCGGAGCTGGGATCGCCCGCTTCGGATAAACTCGATTTAGTCAGTGATCCTTGGCGGGAACAACGTAGGGATCGCATTACCCGTATCTCCTCTCTAGTAAAATTTTCTTTATTTGATTGATTCTGCTGTGCTCCGGATCCGGTTTCTGTATAGAATTCCTTGGTGTTTCTCCTCTATCATGGCCCTGTGGACTGCGCACCCCGACTACCCTGAGCATGTCAAGGAGGAGCTCGAGGCTCGTGTGAAGTCGCCTGCGCCCTCTTTCTTAATCGCTCTTACCAGCAGTGCAGTATTCAAGAGCTGGCCAAAAATGGGGCGCCTACAGCAAAAGCTTTGGAAGCAGAAAAGACTGCAAAACATAGTACTCATAAATCTACAGAATTTACAGGGCCTGCAGGGCAGAGCTGAACGCATTCTCAGTGAGGAATTAGGGCAAGCCAGTGAGTGCCCTATATCAATACTCTATTAATGGAGGCGACGTCGACTCCTTCCAAACAGGTTTGAGGCCCAAAATGCCTATGTTGTAAGGGAAAAGGGCAGGTGAACTATCGGTTAAGGATGTCAGAAGATGTGTTCCGAGGGGCGTTATAATGAGAGCAGATTTGAAGTACCTCGACCGAATTTAATCACACAGGGAGTTTCATCGCATTGGGATGTTGATCAGTTAAGGGACGACAGCTAAACGACAAACGTGACAGTGCATCTGCATTTTATCCGGAGCATAGAAGAAGGCAGGGAAAAGGAGGCAGGAACATCAATTTCTTTCGGCCATGAAGATGAAATGACGCGAAATATATTGATTGGAAGTTGAGATCCAGTAGCATGACCGGATGAAGCTAGCTGCCGATCAAGTGGAAAGCTTATCTGTCAAAATAAAAGACAGGTGTCTTGCACTTGGTGGAAGCCGATCCTGTAACACTCAAGGTGGAAACATCGCTCGACTTGAGGTCTGGCCTGACTGGGAAGCTCGTCCGTTCGTCTCGCTGCCCACTTGAGCTTGGAAGAAACCGCGGGGAAAGTGATGCTGCGTCCAAATAAGTCCGAGCATGATGAAGTCCTCTGGTAATTGCCGGCCAGTCCCGCTCGGTGGCTGCGGAAATTCAGGCCCTTCGAGTCGAGATTCAACTTTTCCCGACCTTCCCACCGTGTTGAAGAAGCCAACAATGGCTTCCCATGGTACCTTCCCTTCGATAGATATGAGAGCACCAGGGACATACGCCATGCCATTCAAAAAGGCAAGAATAACATGGGCGAAGGGCAGGATATTTTTGTCTCCAATCCTCGAAAGGACTACCTCATTGCATAGATAGGTAAAACAAATTACAAGTATGAGCAACGGCGTCTTGTGCTCCTGAGAACGTGGCATCCTTGGTGTATGGTCTGTCCTCAAGTGTGCAAGGCTTCAGCAATTTTAGCGATGAATGCTATGGGTATATCGAAAAGAGAAAGAAAGCCTTGAGAGCTCGAGTTGAGGAAACGGAGAAAGAGATCGAAATAAACGTTCTGTTACGAATACAATCTCGCTGCGGCAAGGATGGTCAAGCAGCATATGATCCGATGATTATCGACTGGGAGTTCGCAGGTTGGTATCCTAGTTACTGGGAGTATTCCCGGGCACTGTATGGCACCTAAACAAAATTACCCCGTTCATTGAGATAACGCATGTCGGCCTTGTATAGGTTGTAACGGCCCACAACAGCAAGGATACGGGAGTGTGGCTTCGCGTTGGAATGGCAGACCGTGCTTTTGTTTTCTAAGCAGCCGATCATGCTATTCACTATTCGACTTTCGCCTGGCCAACTGGTCATGTTGGGTTCCTGGCCGACACCTTCTCTATCATATCTAGCCTACAATAAGACTGGGGGTTCAGGGACGCAATGCGTAGCAACGATTCGTATTGGTGATCTATCTTCTGGTAGTACTTAGTTTAGGATAGGCCTCGAATAGAGAAGAAGTAGAAATAGCAGGGTAACAGCGCTATGCCCAATCAGGACTAGCCCTAATGGCCAGATCCCTCCTGCCTATGACATTCTCTCTTTCTGGCAGAGGATTATCTGCCCAATCGGCGTAGTAACTTGACGGCAGCTCATAAGTTGACGGCATCTCATAGTCCCGAAAGATCGCCATCTCGTAAGCCTCCATCTCGTACCGTGAGAGTTGTTGATTCCACTGTTCCTCCCCTGAAATTTCTGGGAAACAGGCCTTGTCCCCTGCCAAAGGGTGAGAGGGACCTGGCGTGGAGTCATCTGGTGGAAGAAAAAGTCTGCGATATAGCCGGATCTTGCTGAGTAAGCGAAATATCTTTTCACCGAGCAAACCACCTTTAATATTAGCTTGGCTGGAGGGTCTGTTGGGGATGGAGGATCCCAGGGCTGAACGTGTTCTCGGAGCTGAGGCAGGCTCTTTGAGCCCGTCTAAAACGTCGGATTCAAGCTCATGACCTGAAGGAGGTACGTTTCCTCTAAATTTTCTCTTTGAGTATCGTATGGGAGAGTGTTGCGATGGTTCTGTATTGTTGGCATTCCTACTCCTCGCAGTGACTCGCGCTGGCGCTGTTTGAAATGTGACCGCGTCAGTAGCCTTTGAGCCTAAGAACGAGCTGACTTGCATGCTGGGAGCATTCCGGATATTATCACTGGAGAACAATGATGTCGCATCATTGAGAAAGTTGCGGAGGGCAAAATCATGGTCGGACCTAAGAGTTTCTCGCTCAGTCCTGCCATAGGGGGCCGACATTGGAAGTCTGGCGGCCTTTATATCTTCAAACTGTTGGAGTATTGAAGGAAGGGTATCCTCGATATTGCGAATGCGGGTGAGAATGTTAGTCTGCATCCTTGCGTCTCTTGCATGACATGCGCTCGAATTATAACTAAATAGTCATCAGTCGAAGGTTTGTGTTTATGTCAAGCGGAGCAACGAACAGGTATGCTATCGAAATGGCTAGATTCAGCGTGATCTTGTTTGCTATCAACATCTTTCTTAGTTCTAATCTTTCTTTCTCTCGAAAGACCCATTTGACTCGTTGCCAAAGTGTCAAAGTTGTCGAGCCCCCCTGTTCTTCAAAGGGCTTGATAAGACAGGCCAGTTCCTTGAAAATGACAACAGAGTTATTCAAAACGTTCTGAAGGTTGATAGATGTGATGGGTTGCACCACACCGCCGACAGTTTCTTCATCACGAAGGAGAGCCTGGAGCGTTCCTAAAACTTTGTAAAAGTCCTCGAGATCGCTGTGGATGTAGCAAAGCTGTTTTGGCACTTCGCTCAGGGCGGAAAGGGTTTGATAAACAGTTTGACACAGTTCAGAGGCGGTAGCTGCGATCGTTATAAGAGAAGCGGCCAGCGAAACCGGTTCAGCCATCGCTAGAAATTAACAGCTGACATTGCGATAAACGTTCCAGAAAGTAAAAGAACTCCACCTCTTGAATAAATTCAATGAGAGGCCACAAGGCGGTCGCACTCTCAGCCTTGCCCATGACGTCGGCTAGGTTCTTCGCTCAAAATATGACTCGAGGATTTACTTACCTTACCTACTCCTTAACTATACAATAATGATTTGTCTAGTAGAAATCAAGAATCAATAGGAGCATGCTCGAGAATAGCGTGGTGTAAACGAAGCTGGAACTTGGGCTTGAACTGAGGAGTTGGGACAAGTCGATAGTCATGGCCCGAAGCTGGGTGGCGAAATTTATGAGAGTTTTTCACCCGCGCGTAGCCCCCCTTTACTACGGGGGGGCCATAAGTAATGTAAGCTCCACGCTAGTTACAACATGTAATTGCCAAGATAGAACGCCACCAAATCGCTCAATTAGGACTAGCCTAGTTTTTTCTCCAAATATTGAGTATGCCGTCGTTCTGCATCCATCACTGCCTGGCACCTCTCTGGCAGAATTCGGAGATCACTGACCGTTTGCTGAGCGGACTGACCTCCGCAAGCTGCTCCGAAGTTGAGTGCTGGGTAGGTCCCCCCACGAGAGAAGGCGGCTACAAAACCAGCGACATAGGTTGAGGCTTTAGAGTCAAATTCCAGTGCTCGAGCTGTAGAGTTCGCAGGCGTTGGCGGCTGAAAACTGCCCCAGTACAACAGAGGCGACGGTCTTCAGACCTAACAGCCAAAACCGAATGATGCAACAAGGGCAAAAGCAGAAGACAGCAAGCCAAGTATGGAGGTTGCATCATCAATTACTAGTAGCTTCTTACCAAATTGTTCTAAGACTCTCAGAATCCGACAACAGCCAAAGACAACCATCATGGGTTACACTGTTTAGAGGAAGACCGGAGAGGCCTGCTAAAAACGATGGGCCTCTCAGAATGTATCAGCCCACATGAGCCAAATGTGGCGTATAAGGGAACGACAGCAAGGACTCTGCTCTTACAGGATCCTGAAAATAGACCCAACCACACTATTGGCCCGGTATTTTCCTTCCATCTTCAGGGACCAAAGCAGTGGGGCAGAATTGCGCAAAGCAATTGTAATTATAGTAGCCTCAGAGGTAGTCGGGATGTTAAGAGGCCAGCACCAGGCTCAGTACCCTCACGCTGTTCGCAGGTGGCCATTACTGAATGATCGCCACATATGCCCCGCAATCCTATGTTATGATTAATGGAAGTGATGGTCGTGCCGGCTGTGGAGGTGATGAAACTACACCAACTAGGGTGTGCTCAATGGGCGTACGCTGTCGATTTGGGCACAGAGGCCCGAGGCAACCTGATGCGAACGTCCACGTGATTGCTTACTAATTCCATTTTTTAGTCTACCTATAGAAACAGGACTGACGAGGCTGAAAATGAAGTTGCACCATCTTCGACTACATATCTAAATGAAAATATATTCCTGACTTATCAAAAATGCCGAGAGATGTTATCCCTCAAGTTGATGTCGGCGCGCTTACACTCAATGGACTGGCTGCCTTCTCGCCACTCATCGCAGCCTTGAGCACCGACAATGTTTCTCCAATGGCCATGATACAGCTGCAAAGTCTTGGAGATCTTTTCCACACAAGCGGACGGTATGCTGCGAGAGTACCCGATCTGCTACAGCGATGTTCATCTGTACCTCTGGATCAATTAGGAATGGCCATCGGTTGGAGAAAAGGCGATGCCGCTTCGCTGATGGCGCAATCAGCGGGTGGCCAGGCTATAGCGCTATTGTGTTTCTGCTTGGTGAACCTTTATCCTAGGGAATCTGGCGATATACTATTTGAACTAAGTAGGAACGTACTTCGGAGGGATTTAGCGATATCCAGTATTGCACAACTTGCGGATGTTTCACAACTTTTAGATGGGAAGTTGTCAGCCTTGGGATTCGGAAACATTCTTGCAGAACAAGTGCTGTACATACACAAAGTCTTCGAGCAACTTGAGGAATCAGTACCTTCTGATTTTCTCCACTCGATAAGCAGAGACTCTATGGTGGACTTGCTTTCAGCACTGTCTCGAGCATTTCGTGAAGAGGAGATCTTGGTTCGAATCTCTGGCAGTCAGGGTATGGGTTATATTGTGGCTCTTGCAGCAATACTGTTCCCGATGGATACTACGTTGATTATCGGGAGTTTTATTATCCGAGAAGGCACCAGCAAATTGATCTTCCTGGAACTCGACAAGACCGCTGATTCGGGCTGTCCAACCCAGATCCGTGTTGAAAAGGTACTGAAGACAGAAACGCCAGATTCACTGCCAATTAACATCGTGTCTGAAGAAGCCCCACGGCCACCATCGTCATACTACTTTGAATGGACAGGACATGTCGCAGACTGGCTGTTCATTCGTTTCGCGGAGATGGGTGTTACGTGCACCTCAGCGCTGCTTGTTGCGTGCTGCGACGTGTTATTATTACTTCCCCACCTGGTACAGGTATCCTGGGTTGATTCGCCACGGCTAAATATGTTCTCGCTCCTAGGGCCAGAGCCGATGCAGCGAATATACCATGTTTGTAGGGTTGTCTTTCGGGAAGTACCATCTGGTCAATTCAAAGACCTAAAATCAGCATATCGCAACTTGGTTCAGTCTTTCATTGGCTGTGCTGGAGTGAAATCTCAGTGCACTTGTGGGAAATGTGACCTTCACAAAGGTTGGAAAACGGTCGAAAGGCAATATAACTGCGCCACACGCAATCTGTGGCGGTGCATAGGTAAAGCGCTTTCGGGTGGATTTTGGTACTTCTATGTACACGCACAAGAACATGCTACATTAGCACCCGACGAATCTTATTGCGACCTAGAATACAACGTTGTTCTCGACACCATCTACGGTGAGATTTTTAAAGTGGGGCGTCCCATCGAGTACCCCGGTCAACGGATTCACCATTATTTGATGGAGCTTGTCCAGGGGAGAGACATTGAATTGGCTCACTCGAATAGGTCTAGCACAATCTGCCCCGCTTCACTCCTCCAGCTAAAGCGAGGGCTAGATGAAGGTGTCCGGTATGAGTTGAAAGATGGCCGCATGTTGGTGGATGGTCGATATTATCGGAGCCTGCTTTCTACCAGTGTAGAAGTAAGGCCCAGAGCCAGCAAGTCCTTATACCAACGGAAAGGACACATCACACCTACATCTTTGGGAGAGCATTCTAATCTGGTCTTTACTATTCGAGAATTTTCTTCCGGGTTGGAACTTCGGACTACCGCAATCTGTAATGGGCAAAGCTTGCATCTCAATCTGTTGGATATCATCATCTCGTCATTGGTGGTACAGATAGCTGCACCTTGTGAACACGGCCCCGGCTGCCTGCTTGACGAAGAATACTCCAAAGACGTGTTTACTACTTCGATTGCCGGGCCTCTTGCGGATGGCAAGAAAATTGCCATCACACAGACCAGAGACAACCCTGTTGCGCAGCTCCTTGCTTGTGAGGCTGGCATACCCCTTCTTCAGCGTGACTGCTGCCTGAATTGTGCTTTCAAGCAGGCGAAGGAACATAACTATAGTCAGATCATAGTTATGTGATCTTTCATGATGGGTTGGTGATATTTGTTGAGCGCTACCTTCATTGGCTGTGCTTCCTAGAGATACAGTAATTGTACCCCGATTTATACTCGCCTTCCAAGCCAATACTAACATTTCGACGGTAGTTCAGCATAGTGCCGTGGCCCCATACGCGCCGCTTCAGAGGAGCAGCAACGGATATCTGCCAATACGGCAACGAAGGGTTTCATTTCCTATGTCAAATCAGCGCGTGCCGGAGGCGTTCGTAAATCCGAACATGGATTGAGAGGCACTATTCATGGGCCACTGGAAGGCTGCTTATTGACATGACCTATGCTATTCACATCTCCGTTTATATTCCAAAGCTGAGTTTATTTAGCCACAAGAGACACGAGTTTCCATCAGAAAGTAACAAGATGCTTGAGAAAGAGACCCTGGGCCCAAATTGCTTTACCATCGCTTGCCACCTTTCCTCCTCTCTAGCTAATGTTCGCACACGGCGCTATCGGTGCATCATCAGCGCAATCGGTCATTTTGATGGTGGCGACCCGGACGTTGAGCAATATAGTACCGTGAAGATATTCTTGATATACGGTTTGAAGAATGCCTTGATATTGAAGTTTGATATTGAAGGAAATGACGTCTTGAAATATCCCAAATCAACCATACCAACCTTCAGTGGGTTGCATATCGCTTTGTCTAATCACTGTCACTGTTCACCCCTCCGTTTCCTTCTCCTTCTCTTCTCCCTTCTCTCCTCTTTTCTCTACCCTCTTCTTTTGTGTGTCCCGGTCTCTCCGCCCGGCTTCCCCCAGTGTCTCTTCCCCCATCTCTTCCTGTCTCGTTATCTACACACATGTTGTCATGTACACCCAAGCGATTTTGGAGTTGCTTCACGTCTTTACAGCCCTGCTACTCCAGCCTGAAAAACATACTTCTATTCAATCGAGTCTTTAAAAAGTAGGCCGTAGATACAGGGCTTTTGATTTGAGGCACACGAAAAATCAGCATTCGACTCTTCCAAACGTTCCGTAGGAGAAGCCTGCCTGCGATATATATAAACATATGCCAAGGAACTGCAACACTTTTAACAATAGGCAATAAGCTTCGCTTTCACATTAAGCCCGCACGATCCCCACGCTTCATTAGCCACAGTCATTACACATTCGTGTTAGTGAGATAATAAGGTTATCTCATCCAAGTGACACTGAGATATCCTTCTGACTTATTGATGTGTCTGATTATGGGTATCATAAGCTATGGTTTTTTACATAGAGGGCCAGGCTTACCGCCATCTTTTCAAGAGAGATGAAACCCAAGAAACTGCGATAGATGATATCGCTGAAGCAGGCAAATAAGTAGTACCCAGCTAGAGAACCAAGGTCTAACAACTCGGCTCACAAGCGGAGAATTTCTCTACGGCACGCCTCCACTATGATTGAATCGACCATTGTGTAGACACTACCTAGAAATTCAGGGTGAGAATTGGAGGAATAGCGCTGGCAATTCTCAATGTGCTGCTGGACCATAGATTGACTATTGGAAGACAACTTACACTGGAGAAGGCGTGTGAGTAATATCTATCTTAAATACCAGTCTCTTCTTGCTCATGAATTAACTTAAAGCCTTGATATTTACGCTGGCCGCCATCAACAAGCTCATAAGCAACCTCTTGACCGCTTGGGCCAAACAGGGGCACCTCGCCAACCCCTTGGGGCCATTCATCGGAAGCCAAACCTGGCCAGGACTTATTGGTCAGCTGCTCGACCAAGAGGCGATGTAGCTGGCCAACTCCCCTGGTTCTCCAACTCAAAAGCAACGGACGCTGCCGCGGAAAAAGGCGGCGTGTGAGTGGGGGAATCGTAAGGAGGATGATGACGAACCAGAGCACGGCAATAGTAACGATTGCGGTGCAGGCGACAATAACATACTGGGGGTCGTCGATGAGAGTGCGGGAGCACATGCTCTGGATGGCGTGGGTGGTGAACATGCGGGCGATACCGTCCAACGACTGGTTAAATTCAGCGTTAATGTTGGTGATGTTATCCAGCACGACTATCTCCGGCATGGTTTGAGTGATGGGCGACAGACTGCGCTTCCAGTACTCATAGGCAGGGTTGCCAGCTATAAGGAATTGACGCCCGGAAAGCATCAGACGTAGCAGCTCTGACCGGCCGCTGACCTTTTCTGGAGCGATCTGGTAGCGAGGCGAGCCGACGAGAGTCTGCGAAGCCAACACACCGTTGATGTGGGGAAGTACCTGGCCAATCGGCGGTGCATAGCTGCTTAAGGTCAAAACTTCTAGAAAGCCCTTGGTAGACAGGCTGAGGTTCGTTAGTTTCGAAACTGAATTCTTGAGGTTGGCGAAGCGTCCTGGAGTGGTGCATTCTTCAGCGCCTTTTGATTTCACGCAGTAGGAGTACGTAGTATTGCACATGAGTGCGTCGATTAATCTACCAGTGAAACGAATATCACCTCGTGTTAGATTGGTGTAGTTAGTAGTGGGGAAGAGGGGATCATTGCTTTGACCTTGCACTCGAACTCCCCATTGCGTCAGCAGGAGCAGCGTTAGATCTCCGGCATGCCGAATCGTGTCATTCACTCGCAACTGGTTCCTAAGAAGCGTGTCATTCGTAGAGGAAAATGGTGTAAATTCGTACGCTCCAGCAGAATTCGCCGCCAAACTGTGCCACGTATCCGTGACCATCGGGCCGTATCTATCAGCATATTCGGATTTGTTGGTGCTTGTATCAACCCAGTCTCCATATAAGACCCCGTAAACATTGTAACCATCGCGCACCTCGACAAGGCGGGAGTGAAATTCAGTTAAATAGCAATGCTCCGAGACTCCGAACCGAACATCGCCAGCTCCGCCCACGCCCAGGTCGCGGGGCGTGATCCAGTAGTCCATACCAACGAGAAGAGTCCGATTACGATTGCAGACCGGCGCCCAGTCTGGACACCCCTGGGGATAGTAGACTCGATCCTCAGGATGATGCAGGCCAATGGCCGCTGCATTTAATGACGTATAATTCGGCGACGTACTGTCAACCCTGTCGAAGGCGCGGGCTATGGATGGTTGCTGGAAGGCCAACTCGTTGCTTTGATCAGGAAAGTGGAAGAAGGCCGGGCAGACATAATCATCCCCACGGCGAAGGTTTCCAGGAACGGCCGGTAGCTTAGAGACTGCAAACGCACTAAGAGGCGATAGAATGAGAATGGAGAAGGCGAAGGCGAGCCAAAGGGCCGATGCTCCCCAGGCTGGCGACGAGCGTGTCTTCAACAGCCGCCAGACGGCTACGTTAAAGATGGCGTCTGGAGCCGAGGTGGTGTTTGCCAGAATTACACGGAATTGGTCGATTCGCCAGTCACGCCAGGCGTCTGGAAGAAAGACGAAGAGTAAGGCGGCGAAAGGCCTTAGCAATCTCCTAATGAGAATGGTGAGGGCGATAGTGATTAGAGCCGTGACTAGAGTCCAGTTGGTGGTGTCTAGTGTCAAGAAGAAGCCTGACCGAACGACACGATCAAACGTGTCCCACCGGTGGACCGATTGGTCGTCAGGAGTGCCAAGACATAGTAAGCATTCGCCGGAATCGCCCATAGTAGCTGACGCCCTGCTGTAGCTTTCAGAAAATCCTCTGATGAGTTGGTCTTCACAATTTGGAGAGAACTGAGCGGGAACAATTGACAAGGGCAGAAATACATTTGGGAAAGTTACTACGTATGTGTCCAGCGCCTATCCACCACTCTGTCGCAAATTTGCATCTTTTCTAATTGGTTACTAGAAACGCGCCATCGGGTTGTAAAGGTTATCATTAGCGGCTTACTCAATTAGAACGAATCAAAATGTCTCACCAGAGGAACCGAATATCTACCACCCCGCTAAAGGACAACGGTTTTAGGTTTCGAACCTAACTAGTAGATATACTTTTCATAACAGACTTCACCAACACTTTAAAGAGCAGGTCACAGCATTTCGATCCTGATATGACTTAGCATACACTTTAACTGACTTAAGGTTTCATATAACGTCTGTCATTCGTTCAGATCAGTTAAGGTACGCCAGTGGCTCGTCATAGTGACCAATTAGAAGATACACAAATTTTACGACACAGTGTTGGATATTTAGGTTAGCGCTACACCCCAAAATCTGAAACCCGCTCCAGTCATCTTACTATGATAAGGGGAGGAAATAATATTACTACGTATTATGATACTAGTAGCAGCTCGTTATAATATAACGCCACATGGATGTCTACTACGGGGTGAGGCATAAGTATTATTAGTTCGGTTTAGTAACGACTTGTAATGCTAAGAGAGAACGCCATGAAATCGCTCGATAAGGACTAGCCTAATATGTATGTAAGAGGGGCATTAAATCACAATATTACTCTGTATGTTCTTCCAAATAGGTTAAAAATTTACCCTTAATCTGATATGGGCTTACCTGTGTTAGAATCCCTGCGTTTATGATACGTATCTGTTACGTACTAGCATGATGGTACAAGGTCCCCGCATGCAAAACGCACGAAACGCTCTTGTAACTGTTACGCCCTGTTATTTATGGCAGTGAGCATTGCTATACGAATTGAACGCCAAATGCTGTTTCTGAGCTGTTACAGTAATGCGCTTCTATAGCTATTAGTATGAGCAAATGGGCCTCTTGATAGGAGTAACTCAATCAATTCAATTGGTATCTCCGTACGCTATTTGCTACATCCTCTAACAACCTGTTTGGCACAAAAGACGTTTTCGAGTAAAGATACCAGCGCTGAATTAACAATACTTTATGTCCCCCGGTAGTACTACGTACACATGCCAGCCGGCCATCAAGATCCCTAAGACTGAGAGAAGGGACACATCGACCACTCCGCCAAAAGGACAGCGCCAGTGGGTTTCGAACCACAATTAATTGATGTACCCCTCACTGACTGGCTGTGCCTTGGCTACACTCAAACAATGCTCCGCTGTCTTCTGGCAATGCTACCAACCCGTAACTGAGTCTAAGTCTCGAAGCAAAAGCTGCTGCACGGTCCTCTGAGGGCCGCGGTCATTTTCGTTCAACAGTTAGGAGCCCGGGGACGCTTCAACTACGTTGAATAGCAACTTGACGACCCATTTGGGTGAAATCAGAAACAGAAATCTCTGAATTCGACCAATAGGGTTGCTCAGAGGCTATCTAATGTCAATTGAGAGCGTGGCCAGGCTTATAACTGTCGAACGGTGCAGTGGTTGAGGCGAAACTAGGAAGTCAAGGAGTTGAGGACGTATATATATACTAGTTAGTAGGGCTGTACGCGTAAGCGAAAGTCTCTCCGAAATTGCAGTCGAGATCGATCAATCAAAAGCGTAGGATAGGCGCCTCTGAATTTTAAACAAGACTAAGGTAGCCAAGGGTGCCCCCTCACGCCCTTAACACTAAGTTACACCTGACTTTAATGAGTCGAGCGACGGACGTTTCTTATGCAGCAGACTGCTTCCAGGTTGATTGAATGAGACTCCTGTTTTTAGCCCACATAAGTCATCGTCTGTGATATCTCGACAGTGAACATCGGGATACCAGATTTAGAGATCCTCTCAACCAAAAACGTTAGGTCTTCCGAACCAAATGCCGACATGTCCACCTCATGCCCTTCCATTGTCACTGTCAGCAGCCTGCGAGTGCATTTTCTCTCCCATCCCTTCTCTTCCGGTTGGCACTGAAGAACACGTTCTGCATAAAGTTCCTCGGCTTCGTTTAGGATTGCCGTCCTGGTTGCAGAGCTGAGACAGACCATCGTCATGAGGACTTCTGACCCGTGAGGGATTTTCAGCACAACGGCGTATTTCCTGGTTTCTTCTGGTTCGGCGCTCGATGCTTCGACTAGAACTGGTGGAGCCGGCGCACAAGACACTGAAGGAGGACCCTCCGAACCTGCTTCGACTTGCTCTTCTAGGACGAGTACGGGAGACGGTTCTTCTGCCATCAGAATAGTGGGATATTCATCATCCACAACTATAGTTTCCTCGAGGATTTTTGCGTCACTCCCCGCGAATGGTGGAGCAGATGGTATCCTATGGCCAGCGGCAGCGTAATTACGCTCGAAAGGATCTGCCACCACCACGACCTTATCTGCTTGCGAATTGTCAATTTCTATATCAGAGACAACTTTCCCTTCAGCTGTATTGTATTCAGCAGGATAATGGTTATGAACCGAAGGATCATTTATCGCAGGGAAATCTTCCAGGGGTGGTGCGATCTCGCTGATGTGCTCACAAGCACTACGGCGATCTTTGCGCTTCTTTTTTCTATCCCTTTTATTCCTCGCTGTGAATGAAACTGTATCTACGAAGTCTCTGTCAACATCAGCATCTAATGGATTTTCTTCGTTATCTTCACCATGCCCTGAAACGGAAGCGACTTGGCTATTGTTCTGCTCGAGTTTCCCGTCTCGTTTTGATTGGCTCTGATCCAGAAGCCCAGGATGAGTGGCGGCGTTTGTTTCGTCGGGGTCTTCTTCACTATTGCTGTCTACAGTTCGATGTGTCAGTATAGAATACACTTCAGGAAACCTACGGAAATGAAAGCGTACCTTCATCGGATAATGCATCCTGTGCAGATCCTGAGGCCCCTTTCTGGTCTTCTTCCTTGCTTTCAGAAGCGCAAGCCTGTGCAGCCTTGGTGAGGTTGGCTAGGAAGCCCTCAACCACTGAACCGGCCGATCCTCGATGCGTCTTGTCGTTGTCGAGCATATCCTCAATCGCCAGTCTCTCTAGCTCGTCAATCTCTGCTCTTTTACGGGCGAACTCATTCAGCTGGTCGGACAACTTGCGCTCTAGCAGAGTCTGATGCTGAACAATATCATCAACGATGGCAGCCACTTCATCTTTGATCTTCCGAATACAAGTCGCTCGTGCTGTGTCAGTCAGTGCTTCTGTGAAGATGATTGCGGCCTCGAGCATTTTCAAAATTCCCGCCGCGCTCGTGTTCAGTCGATGAACAGCCGAATGTCGTAAGTTGGTGGTTGCGAACAGCACCTCTTTCAAACTCTTGCCAGCTATTGCCGTTGTGGCTGAGACTGGCAGGTCCTTTGTATATTTGGAAAATATCTGGACCCATCGAGTCAGTTCGATAGATTCTGCTTCTTCCCACTTTTGCGCTTTCATCAGCTGCGGAACCCAAGTATTGCCGAATTGAAAACAACAACCCTCCAAGATCGACTGCACCAGTGTTAAAACCTGATGTTGAGTTCTGACGGGTAAGTAAACCGGATGCAGCCGGGGTATTGGGTTAACATCCCGTTCCTTATTGCTTTGTGGTACATTGCTAGGGCAGATCAGTTTCACTCTTGCATTCTCAACGAGCTCGTGTCAGATAGGTCATTTACCCTTGTTCAGCTGGGATATCTTGAGCACTTCCTTCAATCGTACCTGCCGCGGCACGAGATGGTAGTCCTTGACCCTGGCTAGTTGTGGTGTTCAATATCTCCTCCTCGCATTCTTCATCGGAGGTCACTATTGTCTCCTGCACCGCTTCAGCTTCGATTCTTGCGGCTTCTGCTTCTGAGGCCACTCGTTCGGCCTCTTGTGTCTCGGATGGTTGGAAAAGTTCTGGGAAGTGTAGCTTGGCACAGGCTTCTGATTCAAAGATTTTCCGGTCTAACAGTGCCTTGGCAACAGGAGCGATGGCATCCAAAGAAAATTCATTGGTGAGAGTTTTGATAGACTGTCGGTACTTGGAGAGAACTTCAGTAACCTTTTTTAGCTTCCGTATTTGTGCTCGGTCTCCTTTGAAGACTGATGCGCAATGAAGGTAGACAAGTCTCTGATCAGGAATACGAGTTACCATTATGAAAGCTTTAGGGCCGTGGATGGATCGATGCTTCCACAATTTCTTCCAAGCAGAGCAGAGTAGAAGATTTTTTACTAGCCTTCTGATGTCCTGTGGATGCTTCCACCAAACAGTAGTAGCTAGGCTAGGAGGTAGGCTGGGTACGGGGGAGTGGTGCCGCTGCGCCCCGTTGCATGGATTTGGTTGCCTGCATGACAGCCGGTCAGGGCCGAGCCAATCAAACATGTGATACATGCAGCATAATCAGACCCTAACTTGTATCTCCGCAGCTGTGTTTCTGCTCATCGCCACATATGCGCCCATTAGCCTTCAGAGGTACCCAAGGCGATCTGTGCTGTTGATCAGAAATAGCCGGGAAGCACTGAAGTAAAAGACACTTGAGCATTACTTTGTACAACTTTTGAGGATTTTAGAAACTCCTCCGTAAGATGTGGTCACGTGTTGAAAGTCTAGCCAACCGCGCCAAGAGGGGTATGCACAAGATGTGTCTGCCTTGCGTGAGAACGAACCAGGGTAATTCATCATTCAAATGAGCCACCCTTGGGAGTCAGGACTGAACACAGGTATGCTTTCAGGCACCATGGGGAGGGAGCTTCCAACTTGACTGAGGAATCCAGGGATGTCCACTAGATTAAGAAAGTATTCTAGAACGATCTAGCTCTCGCAGTAAATGGTGTACACTTCGGAAGGGGCCTTGCGGGCCTTGCAAGAATACCACAAGCATCACGTTCCTTAGGACTGCGTAGTAGTTCTGTACGTCTGCAAAGATACGTCAAGCAAGTATGAACAATTAGTCGCAAGGTTGTGGTACGTTCTTACCAACCGTATTTCATATAGAGCGATGGGAAACTTCCAGCTTCAGGAGTGCGTTAAGCTTTGCAACAAGAAATTGCCGTTGAGGAAATGGGCTTCTCAGACCAGAATCTCCTGTGTTAGTCAGGAGGACAAGACATGCGCGGTTACGATGCAATCTTCACATTCGTAAATCATGCTGGCAGCTTAAGACTCTGTTGAGCTCCTCAACCACTCGTTATGTATGGTCTCAGAGCAGAGCTTAATGAATCAATCGTTTGGGGCCAAGTCTGGTGTACGTTAGCATGGAAAGGAGCCACTGCCTAGAGAATGCTTTTGTCATTGTCGTTGAGTCACCATCGAAATATCTTACATGCTTAGCTTCTGAGCAATTTCTTGCCGTCTTTCAGACCTTTAATTTCTTGTCCCAGCGCAATCCGTGCTCTCCTCGAAGCTACTTCCTCTCCAGCGACTGTGGTGAGACTTCCCGCGCTCAGTCGATGCACGAAGGAGGGCGTAAACAGCCCCAGGGGACTCTCGGATCCCGTGACGAGAAAATGATCTGCTGCCTGCATGCAAACCGCGTCGACGAAACGCTTTCGAGCGACCTTGTAATATGATTTCAGGATAGCATGAATATCCTCGACTGTGTGATCTGTGTTGCCCATTGGAATAGAATCGGAGATTGTATCTACGTTCACCATTTTCTGCAATCCACTCCCAAGTCTAACCTCGACAACTTGACTTTTCAGGGCACTCTTTTATTCTCTCAAGTCGAGCCCTATGGAGGTTGTCGTTGAAATAGTGGTTCATGGTCAGTGGAGTACCTTTACGTTCCACTTGAAGTATGAAGTGGGTGTGGCTCATGGCTTTCTTGTATCCTTCCACGAGATCATCAGTGATGAGTGCCCGAAGGTTTGACAACATACGCGGATCTGCGCAAAGGGCTGTCATGAGATCATATGTGAAAGTGTGAACAACTCCAATGAAGTCGCTAATATAGGCAAGGGCAAGGGGTTCCCACTTCTTTGACTGTTCTTGGAAAATGATTGGAAGAATAGACGGGCTGAAGGTACCAAGTTCAAACCCTCTTGAACTTTGGTATACAGATTTAATCCAATCGAAAATGTTATCTGTTTCTGGAGAGGGGCATCTCCACGGGCCTTGGATAAAATCCGAAAGTTCTGGGAACCTGTCAAGCTCAAGTTGCCCAAACCCTTCACTTATTGAAAGTGAGATGTCCGCGGTGGCATCTTCGTCAGCGTCGTCATCTTCGTCAGCGTCGTCCGCAGTATCGACGGCTGAAGAAGCATCACTAATGGGTGAGTCGGTAGCGGACTTCTCACTATATCTCGTAGTGGATCCACTAAATTGCATGGTATGACCTTTCAAAGACGTTTCATCCGAGAAGGTGGTGTGAAGATTGACCACTCGTGTCGCCAATCGAAGTAAGGGATTTTCTTCAAATAGCAAGCTTCGACCGTAGTAAGCGTCAAGAGCGTGAGAAGTTACCTCTTGAAACTTGGTGGCCAGGTCTATCAGAAAGGTTCGTTGCTGTTCCTCGGTCTCGCGGGCTGGGCCCAGACGCTTAAGCTTCTGTTCGCAATCCGAGAGTCTTTTGTCAACCTCCTGTTTCACCTTGGGAAATTCACGACGGGGAATATCGATCAGTACTTCACGGAGCCGATCTAGGAGAGCGGGGATGCCAACACGTTCTTTATTAAGTGCTGACCACGGTGGAGTAGAGAAGAAATCTTGCTCCACCCTGTGACGAACAGCGATAGACTGATGATAAAGATCTTGCTGGCCTCTATTCCGAACCATGCAATAACCTAAAATTGAGCCTTTTCTTTTTCCCACGCACCAAATCCATTACATCTCCTTCAGTCCCTTTGTCCACAAGGTCAGGCTTCGTAAGGACACCCATCGTTCGCTGGCCCAATGGATCAACCTCTTCGGCCATGCCGAGGATTTCTTGTGTTGCGATATCCACGGGTGCCGGAGCAACTGCTAGAATGACGGTTCGAGGATCTTTAATATATGACTTGACCATGTTCTGCACGAGTCTCACGTCTTCTGGTCGTGACGTCCTCGGTTGGAGTCCTAAAGATCCCTGGGACATCGATAAAGGTCAGATGCTGCCTATCAGGGCCGCTTAATTCGATCTTGAGGATATCGTCGCTAAAGGTAGACAATCCTGGAGTGGGAAGGGTTCCCGGCGCGGGTACTCCCATAGCATTGCATGCCTAACCAAGTGATTGTTAAATTTTTTGATGTACGCTCAGGCTAGCTCGTCTCACCTTTGAAAGTAGTTTGATGAAATCATCGCCTGACTGCAGAGTTATGTTGTCGATCTTGAAGTCCCGTAGCCTTTCCTTTGTTTCTGGAGCAGCGGTAGAAGATGGTATGATGGAGACTGTGGTAGTACTTATCCTTCTGGGCTCGCCGGAACGTAACCTGCGTTGCAAATCGCGTGCAGAGCCCATTCGCCCGTGGGAAAGGAATGCCGGTGAGACCTTCTAAGACTGAAGACTTGCCACTCGATTAATCACCTACTACCACCAGCTTTACAATATTGGTACTGTGCATTGCGAAAGTGTTGCAATTCGAATTGCAACACTTTCGCAATGCACAGTATGAGCTGGATGTCCGTCGTTCATGTGTCTTCCTACTCACCTGAGGTAAAGCAATATGTTCACTGATATTCAGTTCGCGTAAGCCGTCAATTTTGTCGAGCAAAGATTGCTCCGTCAATCGTTTTAGCTGTCCGCTCTCAGAAGTCATGATAGAGTTGATTGAGTTGCTCGTCCAGAGAGAGTGGTAAATGTATACTCAAAACACAGCAGAATGAGTATGCTTCCACAAAATGAAAATGCATTTGAACCCCAGCCTTATGGAGGAAAGTGATGTATTGTCAGACTGCTCACTGGCTTGTTGGTGGTTGTTGGTTGCTCAATCCTGCTCTTTGCCTGTGTTCGGTTGATTCATCTCGAGTACACTTGAAACCCAAGTCCTACTGTATGTCCATCCTGTATGTACATACATACAAATCCGTGACAATTTAAAACAGCGTGCATTTCCCAGTTTAGTATTTGGTTCAATGCGGATATTCCTGAGCCTATCATTTATTTATTCAGGGCGCATGCTCCACAGCAATGCAAAAGCACTTTAAATCCGAACTTGTCTCTACTTTTTGTGAACCCTACTAGTCAATGAGAGGTCAATATTGAGGCAATCCTTTAATATCGCCGGGCCAGCGCTTCACTCTGTCCCTTGCCCCTCTTCTTCTACCTCCTCTCCTCCGACCAGACCTTCGGCCTCTACCTTCGAACTCTTTTCAAACAGTTCTAACGTCATCGCTGCCAAAAAGCACGGCACGCTCCTTCGCTCCTGCACCCAGAAACGAACCAGCTCCTTCATCTCCATTGCAAATGGGCTATTTGCACCACCGGAAAACTTCATTGTTCCTTCTTCCCCATCAAAGATGATACTGTTGTTATTTGCCTGCTCTTCTTCGTCCTCCTCAGCCTCCCTCGCGGCGTCTACACTCCCGTCTGTGGCCCGATGAGACCGAATATAAAATGTACTTGTAATCCTTGCCTTCCCATTAGGCAGAAAATTAATCTTGTAGCCAAGGATTGACGCCACAGCCTCTCTGAATTCAGTGGCTTTGCTACCGAAGATCTCACGAAGACGGCGCGTTTGCTTCTGCGCAGTAGCGACCTCGGCTTGGAGTCTGCTGAGCTGCATTGTCAGGTTCTCGACCGTGGCGGCGGGCACGACAGCCACATTAGAGAGATCATCTCCTCGTAGCTGGGCAAGAAGGGCGGCATTTTCGGTGCGGAGGGTATTGAGCGTGGACAATTTGATGGCTTCATGGTTAGAGGTTGGGTTTGAGCGAAGCTCAAGGATACGCGTACGCGCTCTGGAGGAAATTGATTTCAGCTGAGACTTTGTAGCGTGGAGCTCGGTTTCCAGGACAGCCGTCTTGGTGGTTGCTTCTGTAAGGGCAGCTTGGAGGTTTTTGGTTTTGCGAAGAAGGGGCCCGAGTTGGTCTTCTTCAGAGCTTGCTGCTTCGGAAATGGAGCGTTTCGTTCCCCGTGATTCTGGATATTGAGATGGTGGTTGGGATTCTCGGTGGGAAAGTTCGGTATGAAGTGATTGGACTTCAGTGCGGTATTGATCGACTAAGGATTCAAGCTGCTTGATCTGCTCCACGCGCTGGTTGTCAAAATTCTCATTGGACATCAGGACTGTTTCTTCAGTATCAAAGGTTTTCAATTGCGCACGAAGATACTCAACCTCTTTTACGGCGAGGATGCGCTGACGATCTAACCGCTTGTAAGCTTTACTGTCTGGCTTATCCGTGGCGCCAATTTGAGTAGTAGCTTTCCGCTCCTTTGCGGCCTGCTGTAACGATAGCTTGTCGGCCTCGAGAGCCTTGATAATCTCATCCTTTTCAGAGAGCTCGGCTTCAAGCTTTCCCATACGGTCGACAAGCGAGGCACGTTCAATGCGTTCCTGCACAAAAGCTTTGACAACGGCTTCAGGCGATTCGAATTCTGCTTCTTGTCCCTCTCGTTCTAACAGGGTACTCCATGTCCTTTTCTCATCTTCCAGCATTTCTTTTTGAATTTGGGCCTCTCCAAGCTGACGGTGAACGTCCTGCAACAACAGTAGCTCGGTTTCTAGAGATCTCTTCTGCTCTTCAACAATTTGTACACTCTGGTGAGCATTTCGTAGACGGCGTAGTTCAGCGAGCTGCTCGCGATTTGTGGACTCTAATTTTCGGATGTGCGTGACTTGGTCCGAGAGCTCTCGCTGAACAACAGCCAGGCCTTCGCCATCTCCAGCACGGGATTTTAGCTGCACAACCTTGGCTTCCAAACTTTCGAACTCAGCATTACGGCTTGATAGCCGTGCTTGTGTACTCTCGAGGTCCTGACTGACGCGTTGTATATCATTTCGAAGACGATCAACCGTGTCTTGCAATGCCACTCGCTTCGCCTCGACATCGTTGATTTGATGGAGATGCTGTCGTCCTTGATCGACGAGCTGTGCTTGCACCTCTTCTCCGTCTTCTCGTAGCGACTGGTTCTGTTCTTGCAGGTCTCTGAGCTTTCTTTCCAAGGCGGCCTTCTCGTTGATATGCTGTGCTTGCGCATCGCGCAATTCTTGGGAAAGAGCTTCATATTTTCGAGATGCCTTGTTAGACGCTCCTTCAGCCGCCTGTAGGATATCAGAAACACTGAACATAGATATGTACACCCATAACGCACCTGATACTTCTTGAAGTCTGCATCAGCTTTCAATTGTACATCTCGAAGTTCTTTCTCATGTTGTAGTGTGAGCAATCCGCGCTCCTGATGTATATTGTCCAATTCATATTTAAGTGAATTGATCTGCGCTCGCAAGTCTTCATTGTTGCTCGTTTCTGCTCACACAAACTAAGTGCCAGCTCAATATATCTCATGTTGTCACCAACCTGGCCTCCCAATCTGTGACTGTCGAATGTTCGCCTTCTTGTGTCGCGGTGGAGTGTCACCGTTGCCGCCGGTCAAGAGATCGTAGGTTGGCTGGATCGTAGCGTGTCTATTCGATGTACTCTAACAAGGTGAGCACGTTTGAGCTCTGGACAGTGCCTCTCAAGTAGGACGTTGCGTACCATATTGACAAGTGAATCGCTAGTCTTTCTGATCCAGGATCATGCCCTCTCCATCTCGCACGAACACTGCAAGATCATGCAAGCAAGTCACGCTCATACGAGAGGGTAGGGAAGGTCATAATTGACATTCACCGCATACCAACGCGCTCTTATATTTTATCCTCGTCTCAATGACGCGATCTGGATTGTTGACAAAATGGCTTGGCAAGTGCCAAAGTTGTTACACAGCGCAGGATAGGACGGCGTGCTGTAGTATGAAATACCTGCCCAGAAAGCTTTGGAAAGCAGGTAAGCTGAACAATTTCAACAAGTTATTTTATCTACATCTTGCTCCAGCCTTATTCGTCCCAAAAGAGTAGGCGTAGGCAACCTTGCCACAGTGCCTTGTGATCAATCTACATCCATTTGACCGTTGATACCAGCACCATTACCATTATTCATGCCTTTTTCAGTCTCATTGCCGTACCTAAACCCACATGAAACCCCAGATTCCGGAGCTGGAGTCCTCTCGGCCCGCAGGACTTCTGCCCCTTCAAAAGTGATCGGATTAGTCTGTAGATTGCTCAAGCACGACTCCCAGTTCCTTCCCACCAGTCTGCCTTCCAGCAAATCTTCACTGAACAGATAGAAACCATCCTGGCAGCCCACGAGATATGCAGTGAGGCCTTTGCTCTTCAGCAAAATCTCAGCACCATGTATACGCCTCGAGTAGTGATTCTCTAGATAGCGAGCCCATCCTCGAGCAGCTGCTTGAATGTCTGGATCCTCTGTAGCAAGCCTTGTCCATCCAATGCCCAGAGCGTATGTGAAATCGTCGATGGTTGGATATGATGCAGACGATGAAGATTTTGGCAGGCTTTCTGGCGCTACTGCTGCTACAATGTCGTCCGGCCGTGGTGATGGAGGGGCGGCATGGTCAAGGCGCACAGACTTTCGCGACGTGGGCATCCTTGGTCGATCTTCTATTCCGGGTAATAATGCCGAGCCTGCCTCGACCTTTTCTTCGTACCACGTTCCTGTCTGGCTCTCTGCTGAGATCGAGATGCCCGTGGAAGGATTCAAGAGCGCCATGCCTTCGCCGTAAGTCGGCTCTTCTGGAATTGGTGCGGGAGTGTTGACTTTCTGCTCGTGAAAATAAGAGCCATCATGGTTCAGTGTCAAGTCGCTTTCGTCCCGCGACCTTTTCCGCGAAGGGTTCGTGGAAACAGGTGTCATCGTATCCACTGGTGTCCAAGAAGTTGAGTTGTTACGGTGCGACTTGACGAGAAGAGAGTCGTCGGTGTCCGAATTACCAGAGAAGGAATGAGAGCGCATAGAATTGTGAGGTAATTGAGCACCATTTGTCGGTGACATGATCATCGTGGGGGCGTCAGAGAGGTCGCTGTGGTGGTATCGTGCCATACTGCACGCGAAAAGCCACAGCTAAGGACAGAGCTGAGGCCAAAGGGAAAGAATGAGAACTTGGGAGGCAGTGTCTCTCGTGCTTGGAGGATCTCGAGGATATTCCAACGCAGGGCTGACCAAGACGAAGAGCAGATTACACTTGCTTCAAACGTATATAGCAATTGAGCAAGCTTGAAACCATGGGAAGAAATGATAAGTGGCAGGGAAAGGTGGAGGAAAGAAGAAAGAAAGGATATCCTTGGGTCGAAGTTCAATGATGAGCTTTGGTTCCTGGCGAGATGCTAGGGTCTTTTGGGGATCGGCGCAGTAAGGCAAGCCAAGTGCCGGAGGCGTTGTGCTTCACTTCCTTGATTCGTCAAAGCGGCTGGTGGCTTCGGCTGACTTGCATGAGACAAGGAGGGAAGACGATTCGGCTGGGTTATGGAAATGTGGGGACGGCTCGACGGCAAAGGGCTATCTTTGCTGGTGAACCAAATATATCTCAATACTTCTTCTCGAAGAGTGTTTAGTCGCTAAGAGAACTCAGTCGAACGCCTTTGCTTTCTGCAAGACTCAATGCTCCTAATGTACGGGACCTTGCAGGAAATGAGATGCAAGAGTGCCAAGCGAGCATTCAATAACCTCCACTGCAGTGGCAGTAGTTATGAAGAGATTAAACAATTGTCTAAGCTAGAATAATGCAGCTGTCTATAAAGTACATGATGCACCTCCCCAGGCCCAGAAGGCAATTATGATGAGATGCCAATTGGGGCCCGGTGTGCCTGTGATTGCGCTAGAAACAAGATTCTGATCCATCATACAGCTCAATTGAACTTAACTGCTTGTACCATTCCTCCCATGGACAGGATCGATTTTAGAAACATCTTACCGATCTTTTGCCAGAACTCGTCGGCCGCTACCGTTGCGCTCCAGGATTAGCTGATGCGACTGACTATCTCAAGTGCCTTTCCGTTTAGGCGCCGCAGCTGCCGCGGCACCACCAAGCAAACTCTTCAAATACTCTGAGCTAGCTTTAACGCTGCCAGGAGCGTATGTGGGTGCCAAACCGCAAAGAAGCAAAAACACCGTGAACACCGAAGCTCCAACTATCACCAATTTGCGGGTGGCAGGTTTATTCGTGCCAAATTCGTTCCATGAGCGGCCGGCTGAGCTAGCATACTGCTTAAGCTGCTCGCTACCGAGCTTGTAGTACAGAAGACCACCTAAAGCAATACTGTAGCCAAAGAATTGAAGCCCGCTGACAGGCGTGCCCCAGATGATCATGGACGCTGCAACCAGGAGAATGTCCTTTAGGACGCCACAAAGTGTTAGAACGAGGGAAGAAGTTTTGCCGATCTAGGAACATGTTAGAGATCCTCATAATCTGGGAGAAGAGATATCGCACCAGGAAGACCAAAGAAACATTCAAGAGGAACGCAACCATGGCATTTGCGATGAGAGTGATGATCCCAACTCGGTAGATATCGTCAAGCTGGAAAGTCGGTAGCTCAGTGAAGACGGATACAATCGCATTCATAACAGCACAAACAGGAGCGTAGTAGTACAACGAGACCAGCGGATCCATCTTGAAGTCTGGAGAGCTCAAGATCATCTGGATCATCACCAACCGTGTGGCCTCAAACATGACGCCGGTGACTTGGTATATGAAGCCTGTCAAGTCGAACATAATCTCACCAAATGAGGCAAGAATCACACCGATGACGATGAACGAAACATTTCCCAGAGTCTTGAAGTTCGGAGGGGCAACCCCTAAGGACCAAGTAGCAAGGAGGACAGCGACAGGTGTGGTAGCCTTTTATTGGTGAGCACATGCAGACCCCTTCAATCCGTAAACAACCATACCTTCAGCATCTGGATGAACGCTACACTCAGGTATAGGTATGCTTTGTTGCCGCATATCAGACTCAAGCTGAAGAAGAATCCAATCGGCACAATAGCCCTTAGGTAGACACGACCCGTCATCTTCACTGTTTTTCGACTATCGAGTAACGAAGTTGTCCGCGCAAGTATTTGTGTCATCAAAGAAGCGAACGCAAGATGCCATGTCGTCAGGATGATCGCTGGAGAGACTGGTCAGATGGAAAATGCATGGTTCAGGACAGGACAAGCTTACGAAATCCTGTAAAGTTGTTAGCACCGCAGAGTCAGTCACGATTGTCTAGAGCAGGAACCCACTGAAGTTCTTGGTATCCAGAACCCACTTGTTGAATAGAATGACGCCAGAGCTCATTGCGATCCAGGAGCTGTCGGGGTTAGCCTATTGCGCAGCCGCTTGGGAGAAGGCATCGCACATGACATAGAAGGCAGGATGTAGTGGTGGCTTGGTGGGCCTGGTGGGTTCTTTGGCTTCAGAGTTGACCGTAGGAAGGGTAGACATCTCCACTGGCCTTGGAGAGTCTTCCGACTTTCTGGCCTTCTCGGCCTCACTCATCTTCTAAGGTGGAGAAGGCGTGAGAAGGATGTCTTGCAAGGTAAATGGTCCACAATGGGAGAATTTCTTTGATGTCAGGGGAAGATGGTAATGCGACCAAACGAACGTATGATGACAGAAAGTTGACGAGATAACCGCTAACCGCAGGTGGATGCGTCAATGGTGGACGTTGTCAGAAAATGAGATCTGTACTGCAGGGCGGAATTCCTCCCAGCTTGGCCTCAACTACTCACTTGGTTACAGTAGTTAAGCCGCGTCGGCTCTTTCCCAGCGGCACTGCAGTCACTGCACTCGCTTCACTGGCAGATGGCCCCCTGCAAGTGCGCCAAAATAAACTTCATACATCGCCCCTTTAACTCAAGCTTCATCGCTCCTAAAACGACAGCAGACTATGAGTGACATATCGATACAGATAAATTCTGCATGTAAATTTGTCATACTCCAGTAACAATTTGAATTGTACACATATGTGATTGTCAAATGAATGATAATCGTACAACAGCTACGCGGACAATGTCTCAGAAGGGGTTTTGATGCGGGCAAAGCAGCCTGAATGCTCAGTTTGTGAGACATTACTCCTCCTTGTACTCCGTAGGCGACGTCTCTATCCGTAACATAATCGTCTGCATTTCTCCTTGAGCCTTACGGCCGATCGGCTGATGTGGCTGGATAGATCGGTTTTCCGTATAATTGGTAGAACATGCACTCATATCCGCCTCTCAGACGCTGTTGGAGCCTGCTAGCATTCTGGCTTTCACAACAAGGATTCAGTTGTTCATTCCTGCTCCTTGGTATCAAGTACTACTTAGTACTAGTAGTACTTAGTATCAGATTCGAAGTTGTTGGGGGACCCCTGCCAAGGAAGTTGCGACCCAAGTTCGCCAAATTTGAGAGGTACAAGTGTTGTCTTTTGCCTTCAGAATCCAGCATCCCTGGTTTGCCAACTTGAACGCTCGCTCCCGTCAACACAAGCCTATGCTGGAGTTGCCCTCTGTGTGTTATTAGTTTGTAGAAATCATCGCCGTTCATACTCCCGGTCGAGATGCCCGACACGTTAGTGAAAAGCCCCTCGAGTCCAGCTCAATTGATCAATGATAGCTTACACTGCTCAGTTCTGTGGACATTCTTGTCATTGGGGCTGGACCAACCGGCCTAGGTGCTGCGAAAAGATTAAAGCAAATTGTACGCAATTCAAGTCCATATTATCACACCCTTCTAATTGTCCTCCCTAGAATGGCCCATCATGGTTGATCATCGATTCCAACGAAACTCCCGGCGGTTTGGCCTCGACAGACGTAACGAAAGAGGGCTTTGTGAGTGCTGCAGCTGCGTGCTCTGTACTTGTGGACCCGCTGACTGGTCGCTCAGCTATATGATGTTGGCGGTCACGTCATCTTCTCGCATTATAAATACTTCGACGACTGCATCGACGAAGCCTTGCCTAGAGAAGACGATTGGTACACGCATCAGAGGATTTCTTACGTCCGATGCAAGAACCTCTGGGTACCTTATCCCTTTCAGAACAACATTTCCATGCTGCCGAAAGAAGAGCAAGTGAAATGCATGGACGGCATGATAGATGCGGCATTGGAAGCGCGGGTAGCAAATACAAAACCAAAAGATTTCGACGACTGGATTGTGCGAATGATGGGCACTGGCATCGCGGATCTGTTCATGCGCCCCTACAACTTCAAAGTTTGGGCTGTGCCAACAACAAAGGTTCGTTGCCTTGCTCAGCCGGACATATGAAGCTCATACCAGTTCCAGATGCAATGTCAATGGCTTGGTGAACGGGTAGCCGCTCCAGATCTCAAGACAGTGACCAAGAACGTTATCCTCCAGAGAACAGCCGGGAATTGGGGGCCAAATGCAACGTTCCGCTTCCCTGCTCGCGGCGGTACAGGAGGTATCTGGATAGCAGTGGCTGATACGTTACCTCAAAAGAATACTAGATTTGGCGAGCACGGAACCGTGACCAAGGTGGATGCAGACAAGAAAATTGTGCATCTGCAAGATGGTAAGACAATAGGATATGAAAGATTGATCACAACTATGGCAGTTGACTCGCTGGTGGAGCACATGGGTGACGAGGAATTAATCAACCTCAGCAAGGGTCTATATTATTCCTCGACCCACGTCATAGGTGTTGGCATTCGAGGAGAACGCCCAGAACGAATTGGCGACAAATGTTGGCTTTATTTCCCCGAAGATGACTGTCCTTTCTACCGTGCCACGATCTTCTCGAATTATTCACCAAACAACCAGCCCCCAAAATCCGCCAAACTACCAACGTTGCAACTGGCCAATGGCTCGCGTCGGAACAGCATGCAACCCAAGGAAGGTCCTTATTGGTCGATCATGCTCGAGGTGTCAGAATCAAGTATGAAGCCTGTTGATGAGAAGAATCTTCTCAAAGATTGCATTCAGGGTCTGTTGAACACCGAAATGTTGAAGGCAACGGATGAGATTGTCAGCACCTACCATCGGCGCTTCGATCACGGCTACCCAACGCCATCCCTGGAGCGTGAAGGTGTTCTCAAAGTCCTTCTCCCTAAATTGCAGGAGAAGGGCATCTACTCCCGTGGTCGCTTCGGTAGTTGGAGATACGAGGTTGGCAACCAAGATCATAGTTTCATGCTTGGTGTCGAAGCCGCAGATAATATCGTCAATGGTGCTGCAGAACTCACGCTCAATTATCCCGACTTTGTCAACAGCAGACAGAACAACGAGAGAAGACTGGTTGAGGGCATGCAGCTGCTAGGACAGAAGACCATGAGTCAGAAGCAAACTAACGGCAATGTTGTTGTTGGACGCAGAATGACGGGAGGGAAGGCAGAGCTTGGTGGCAGATTGGAAACATCTTCAATGCGCGACGGAGAGAAGGTTGATGTCCATGTCGAGAACAGCCAAGCATTGCATTCTAGATGAGATGGGATAGATCTTGGGTGTTATAGACGGTTAGATAGACAATAGAGAGCCAGCCAGACTTGATTTGCAAAGACCAGTCCGCAGTTTAAAGAAGTAGTTGACGAGATAAGTTGATGCTCACGAAAGGTTAGCCTGACTACTCAGCATTGTGCATGCCGAATCCGGCATAGCTACTAGCTAGCAGCAGGACGTGGATACCATGACTAAGTTGTACAACCTCGATGTCAACATCTCTTCCCAATTGTGGTGTAGCTCGGCCGATGAACCTACTAACTACATTCGACCATGGGGAGGTAACACGCAATGCCATAGATTACCACCTGAAAGGCTTGCTATTCTTTGCATCGCCGCGCTTATGTGCTTGCCTTGAGCTGCTTCCGCCCACTCTTCTGCAGAGAGTAATCTTTTCCTGCATGAATTAGACATTGCTGGTCAAGCCTCTGCAGCTCTAACTCATTTCGAACATGGCAGACTACAGGCTGTGTGTTTCCTTATTAGTCACTCCATTGCTTTTTCTCTTACCATGAAGGAAGGCAGGCACAGGTACTATGTGACTCGTCACCTCTTGTTCCGCATACTAACTAGCTCTTACATCAAAATTGTTGTCAACCTGCTCCCTAGCTTCCATGTGAGGGCTACGAATTAGTGGCGGTTGACAGCCTACGTACCTTTTATGACCGTTGATCTCATCCTACTACACTTTGCTGTGTACGCCGCCTTTCATTGGACCTATTTCGCAGTCATGCAGAATATCTAAGTGACACAAATGCATTCCGCATTCCCTGGGTAAAGCGAGTGATCCATCAGATGCCCAGTGTCCTGGGTCCACAAAGGATACGAACGAAAATACCATGTTGATGTTGTTGCACATCATGAATAGTTGACTAGACTGGCGTGTTGAAGGGTATTCCTGAATACGAGCTCATATTGATCTCGGTAGGATCGAAGATTTGCTTACCATATACTCAGTCAACATGCCTTTCCTGGACGGAATGATCGGAAGAAGCTGCAGGAGACCCCCGAGAACCGTCGTGACGAGCGCTGGACCTGTACATATGTGAGCTCTAGCCTTGGAGAGTTATCTACCGGATCCCACCTCCGGGATATTCTCCTTTCAAGAACTCCAGCAGCCAGCTTACAGATCCCAATCTCCATACTCACAACCATAGTAAGCACACATATACACCTCAAGTCTCCTGTCAGATAAATAGCTGGTTAGCGGCCAATTGTGGCCGCGGTCGTTTTGGTTCGACATCTCCCATCCGATTAATCCTCTCGCCTTGCCAGCTAAAACCTATCAGCACAGTCCCCGAAACCGATCATGCACATGCCCATCCTCCCCCCTCCTCCTCATTCCAACCCTAGTCTCAGCATGAACACTCGACCTCACGGCAACTAACGGACGCGCACCAGGCGCAGCTCCGACAGCGGCTGCGTCAACCTTGGCTGGTCTCCCACTCTGGCCGTCCGGAGCGCAAACTTTAACCCAGCTACCCCAGTTTGGCCAGACCAAATCTGCTTTTGAGCCGCATCGAAGTCGTGGCTGTGATGGGTTGGTGTATAGGAGTGGGTGGGAAATCACGTCTTGACGCCTGCCAGGGCGATTAGGAGTTAAAAAGTTTATTGAGCGGGGTGAGGATGGGGGAGGAAGAGGGGTGTTGGCGATTGAGCAGAAGCGGCAAATTAGGATTGAGATTGAAGCTGGGATGGGGTAGCTGTGAGGTTTATGCTTTAGTCTGTGCTGCGGCACTGCAAGAGGGTAGTTGATCTTTCTGTCGCCTGTTCAAAAAATTCCCATTTCTCCTCCTCTTTATATACCACTTAAATGCTCATATCAGCACCCCAATTTCCCACAATGCCGAAACTGGCGTTTCAATGCTATTCATGTCCTATCCACATAGAGATAGATGCTGTGTTCAACCATCATGGGGCCTTGCTATTACCTTGGCCCACGCCGGCCTAATCCCACAAGCAGTGGAAAGCAATACGCACTTGTACAAAGTCGACCTCTGGCCAAGTTGTCAAGCTCGAGAAGCCAAGCAAGAAACGAAGCGAATTTATCCAGTCTCCATGGCATGGTAGAGGATTTGATTTCACTCTTAACCGCCTAGTGGAGGGCACGTGATTTGGTGGTGGGTATAGAAGACCGAATATAAAGCGATGGAGTCAGTGATTCACTTATCACGGGTCGACTCGTTTGTAACAGAAAGTGGTAGTAAGTACGGTCCAAGTACATTATAATGAGGTGAAGGCTAATGGGAAAGCTGTTGTTATCTAGTCAGGGTGTGACGGTAGTTGGGGAAGGTTATTTCATTTTGGAAGCGCCCCGTGAGGACGAGTTGAGATGAGCAAAAGAAGGGAGGGATTTTGAACTGCTCGAGGTTCGTAGTCCTGGTTGACTGGAGGCACTTTGGTGCGCTGAAGGTGAGCCATACCGGTAATATGGGGTATCATTCGGCTGTAATTCGGCTGTATGGGTCAACATCGGAAGCCCAAGTGGTGAGATATGGCTGCATATAATTTCTTTGGTCCTGCAGAATACTCTCAATGAATGTCTTGCTCGTACTCTTACTGCAATATCCCGTTGCGCATGTCGCCCAGCATATACGGCTCGTAAGTCTCATTACATACATTTCAGCATCAGGAGATGTTTCCATAAGTAGCAGCCGGGAGGCTTCCAATCTCGTCATCTCATGCCAATGGACACCAGAAGAAGTCAATGCCAACTCACCTCAACGCCATCGCTAAGCGTCGCAGCAAATATCAAAAACTGTCCGTTCAGAGATACGTGTACATGAGGAAAGAAGTGTAGCGCAAATCCTACTTGAGCAGACCGCCAGCATCCACAATTTCTATGGAGCTCTCGGCCCCAGAGTAGTTCCATCGCGTCGTTTCTGACTCACGCCGAGCTCTGTAAGAAGGTGGCGGCTCTGCTTGTATTGTACTGGAATCTGTTCCACCGGGTTGGCTGTAGGGAGAACAGGGTCTGCTAAAATTGCGGGGTGAGGATGGAGGAGGCAGTAATGATGGCGATGATGGGCGGTGACGAGCTGCTGGAGGCAGCGCTGTAGAACGATCAAGGTCTGTGGAGGTGCGGGTGTTAGAGAGCAGACCGCCAATATCAGCAAACGATGTAGTAGCATCCGCTGCTGGCGCTCCATGTTGTAGTTGTGGTTGGTTTGATGCTGGAGATCTAGCGAAGTCTTTGAGCGACGATTGTGGAGAATTTTTGTTTGCAGGCTTGGAGGAAGAAGGTGAAGAGAGCTTTTCGTCGCTCTGCATCAAATTGCCGACGTCGAAAAAGGACATTTTCTTCGGTGTTGCAGGTTCACTAACAGCTTTAGCAGATCGCCCTTCGGTGCTTATGCCCTGCCTCAGGTCTGTTGTTAAATCTGTGGGAACAGAAGTCACGCCTTCTGCCACTTTTCGTCTGACGCTTTCGCCCTTCTCTACCAACGGAGAAGGAGAGGGAGGAGGTACCGGTCTAGGCGCCGCAGAGATGATCGAAGACTTCCGAGATTGTAAATCAGGTGCCAGAGACATGCCAATATCACCGACAAGGTCCGAGTCGCTTCCCCAATGATTCTGTGTGATGGTCGTCCGTTTCGTCATTGTCCTATCAAGCGAGCTATTACCCCCTGTACTTTCTCGTTTGTACTTGGGCTTTTTGACCCCTCTGTCCCTAATGAAGGAGGCGATAACGACGCTATTACTGACCACCGCGGCGGCAAGAATCTCTAAAGAAGCAAGTAGAGAGCGGTATTGCTGTGCTCCGCCACGGCTGATGGTCGACGGTATCCTGTAAGCTGTGATGGCAACGAGCGCTAATGAGAGAGCGAAAAGTAGGACAAGAGAGATTTTGCGCTTCATAGTCATGGCAGAGACCATGACGATAGGTATAGGAAATACAACCAAGATCACATCCGTGATGATGTCGCATGTCCCCATTGTTAGCAGTTGAGGTATCCCTGCCCTGCATTGTGGACCAGGATCAGGCATGACCTGCCAGTAGTGATCGAACGGTTGACATTCAGCGAGTGTAGCAATAATCACTGCAATGAAAGTAGCAAGCAGGAAGTATCGAACTATGCGAAGGCCAATCTCGTAAGACTTGCGCCAGAATGCACCGACAATGCGCTTGAGGAACTCCAGAACGGTTAGTTTGGCCGTCCAGATGAATGCTGCATAAAAGATGCGTGATGCGAGCACCAGCTTGCTGCCAATTTCTCGGTGTCGTATGTCTAGCAAGGACAAGCCATCTGAAACTGTGTTGTTCGTACCCCATATCAATATCACATGTACCAAAGCCATCCGGGTCAATAGAGGTATTATGCTCGCAGCCATGATTTTGTCTTCTCCGAATAACTTCTCCGTCCTGACGTATTTACCCCAGACTCTGACGAGTATGATGAGCAACGCGAAGCTCGTGCACCACCAACTAACCAATAAAGTGGCATTCATGTCTGCTTTTGTCTGCAATGCGGGAGGGCCACTCTGGTACAATCCGCGCTGGGCCATACTGTTGAAGGATCCACGAGTAACAAGCCCCGAAAAGGATATGTCTAGGTCGTGAAGTTCAGTGACTCCTATCGAGTGGGTGTTGAAATGGTTCTTGACATAAAGTCATTTTGGTGATGCGACTTGTGATAACGGATGACGCCGTCCGAATAGGCCGATGTTCAATCGCTATGGTGGTCGACTATTGGGCCTCAATGCAATTGTTTCTCAAAGATGTATGCCATGCAGTAACTAGTGGCCGATTCAGGAGTTGTCTCACACAGTGGAAATGAATGACCCAACATTCTTGAAAGGCGTGGACAGAGGCGCAGATGGACATCATTCTTACAGCGGAATGGCCGATTGCTGAAGTGGCACATGTCGGTTAGCAGCTACCGAGAGGAATGCAGTTCGTATTCCCGGGAGGGATGAGCTTCAGTCAAGGCCATGACTTGGTGCCCAGACCTATTGCGTGCAAGAAAGATAAGGCCTTAAGTCAGCAACCAGTTCTGTCCACTAGAGCGACGTCTAGACTCGCGGAAAAGACCGCTTAAGGCCAATAGCGGGAGGATTGTGGATCAAGGATCTGATGATCAGCTGATCAGCGGCCAGGCTGACTGCAGCTTGCATATCCGCGGCTCTCACCCAAGCAGCCCCACCAACGGCCTCGATTCCTGGTGAACCTCAGGCTTTTCATCAGCATCGACCTGTGTACATAAAGCTTGCACTCAGAAGTTCCTATACAGCCTCATTGAGCCTCTGAGCATAAGAAACCTTAACTGAGATAGATCAACCTTGTACGAACAACCAGTAACTCAAAAGGGAAGAGATGAGGCCGCATTAGGTGAGACATGGAATTTACCTCCGCTGCAGAAAGAAGGGGGTGTTAAGCGCCTCAATATCAGCAACATCTTATCCCAATCGCAAGCAGCCCAAGGACGATCTCGAGCTATTGTTCTGTCCGCATTAATTGGCTTGTTTGTTTGCAAATGATGTCAAGGATTTACTGGCTATCAGATGTTATCATTGCACATAGCATCCCGACTTGAGCAGAGAGAACCAAAAGAATATCAGGCACAATTAAATGTCTTCTGCAGATATGACATAGCCATGGCGAGACGTCTGGCTGCTGTTGCGTAATAAATCCACACCATACCCCAATACTAAAGACATTTTCTTCGTGAACCGTGCACAATAACGTCTTGTAGGGATTGGGTTTCTGCTCAGGTCTGCCTGTTCCCCCTATCCAACCTGAAGTCGTATCAGCTCCTGCTATCACTCATACACCATAACTCTCTGTGGGATTAGGCAGCCGCTTGGGATGGTCCCACTGGATACTGCCTACAATATGGTTTCCCACCTCAGATGCACCATCAGATAGGGAGGGAAAGATTGAAGCATTTCTAAAGGTTGACTGATTGTCAGACCAATAGCTGGTAAGCGGCCAGCACCAAATGTGTCGTGCATGGGAAGCAGGATCAGAGCAAGGACAGAGCCAATCAATTTAGAAGAAGTCCATGAATAGACAAGACGGATAGAAAGCTCGATCAGATTTGCTTTGTAAGGACCGCTATGAGCCCTACGTCGACCCTGTGGGAAGATGCTATGCCAAAATACTGCCGGATACTCTCCCTGTAGTCTACCGCCACTCGGGTCACTTCATTCTCTAATGGAGTGACCCATAACTTTTGAGCGTTATGAGGATGTGTTGGAACCATCTATCCACCCACAGTCGTTTCCCCTTATACCTTCTCCTCTTTGAGTCCGTGCTTCCAAATTGTTGCAAAGGGAGTGATACCGTCCTCGCGGAAATTCACTAGAATGTACATGCCCTCGCTGCTCATTGACTCGCCCATGTAGATGTCATAGTCGGCAACATTGGCGCTGAGCTTTTTCAGAGCCGCAGCAGCCCCTGACTGGAATTCTTTGGACTTAGTCTCACCATTCGGTTCAGCTTTCAGTTTGTTGTTGAGTCGTTTTATGTATGCTAGCGGTCGATAAGTATCATACTGGCTCCTCTTTCAAGTAGATCCAGAAACCTACCTTTGAGATCACTGGTGAAAGTCTTCTTGTCCATTCCACCCTCCATCTTGTTCAATCGGAACTGATCTTCAATATCCAGGACTTGTTTGTTCTCGGTGTCGCCGCTTTCTTCAGCATCCTCGCCCTCGGCAGATGGGTTGGCACCCTCCAGAACTGCGCACTAACGGATCAGGGGAGGTTTAATTGACCTTGATCTGGTTTTATACCGAAATTATCACCACCTTTGGTGACCTTCTTAAGATCTACCTCCCATAAACCATCTCCAACATCAATGATCTTGAAGGTATCGGAGAGGATCTCATCGCCAGTGATAATATCCTGAGAAACGAAAGAATGTCAGCAATAAGAAAACCCATCAACAGATCGAGGGGAACAGGTGGGGCAGTGTCTTCACTGGCGAAGATCAGCGGTTTGCTCACCTTGTAGATGATCATGTCGAATGTCTTCCTAATGTCGAGTGCGCTATTTTTGGGATCTTTTGTAGGAACGCGAAAGTAAAGACAGATCGAGGGGGATCAATATTGTGCTCGCAGGTGGGAAATTGTGGGGTGGAATTGTGAATTTAGTCCATGCAGGAAAAGGATCGGCGAGCACCCGTCTGGGCTCCCGAAGGCTGGGCGTGACAGCATCTACTACTTAACAATAATTAGGAGGCGATTCCCAATCATCATCGGATTGCCCTCGTCCTATTACCACCACCTTGGCCTACCCGCTTTCATACTGCAGAACGTTGCTTGTGTGTTGAATAGTAGCATCCACTCATTTCTAACCTTTGGTCCTCTCTGCTACACTTCCTTTTTGGGCTTCTCAATAGCGTTGCCGCGCACTTCCGTGGGCAGAGCCTTCTGGCCTTGCCTCCGTCTTCCCTTACTTTACAGGACATCCCATGATGCCTAATGCGACCTCTGGAGACTATCTTCCGTGTCTGCCGTCCTACAGTTTGACACCTCTACCTTCGATCGTGCCGGGTATTTCCGATCAGCTGCTTGCCCTCCTCCTCCCAATTGCTGCATACTGGATAGTGTCCATCGGGTTTCACATTCTCGATGTCTATGATTTCGGGTCGCAATATCGTCTTCACACACCGGCCGAAGTGCTGAAGAGAAATCATGTTAGTAGAGGCGAGGTCATCAGGGATGTGGTCCTGCAGCAAACTATCCAGACTGTCTTTGGACTTGCAATTGGAATGCTAGATCCGGTGGAGATGACTGGTAAACAGCTTTACGATATAGCAACGTGGGCACGGAGAATCAGAGTTCTGCAAAGTTACATACCGAAAGTCCTCGCTCTCTTAGGAGTCGATGCAATTGAGCTCGGCAAGAACCTCGTGCCTACGCATCCCACAGCAGCTGGGTTGTTCTTGGGAGGTCAATATCCCCACCTCACTCAAGACGTCATCGGCGCAGACGGCCAGAACGTCACGATGCCCGCATTTGGGTCTGGGGAGATTTGGGCGGCACAGCTCATCTACTGGGTTTTGATCCCAGCATTGCAATTTGGAGTTGCCATATTCATTGTTGACACTTGGCAATACTTTCTGCACCGCGCCATGCATATGAACAAATGGCTGTATACGACATTGCATTCGCGTCACCATCGTCTCTACGTACCATATGCATTCGGGGCACTATACAATCATCCTGTGGAAGGCTTCATGCTTGACACACTGGGGACGGGAATTGCATATCTTGTGACAGGAATGACTACTCGTCAAGGAATGTGGTTTTTCACCTGCTCAACCATCAAGACGGTGGACGATCACTGTGGCTACGCCTTCCCATGGGATCCGTTGCAGCACATCACTTCAAACAATGCAGCATATCATGACGTGCATCACCAGAGCTGGGGCATTAAAACGAACTTTTCACAACCTTTCTTCACTTTTTGGGACCGAATCTTGGGTACGGTATGGAGTGGAGGAGATGTGTCAGCTCGATATGAGCGTACTAGAATTGCAGCGCAAAAGATGATGGATGAACAGTCGAAAGGGAAAGAATCGTCAATCGTCAACTCTGCCGCGCTTGATCGGCGCCGCGCGCTTCATCAAGCGGCTATGTCACAACAGCAAGTGCAGGAAGATGAAGCACATGGTGGGCAAAGAGTCGTAGAGGAGGAGCAATTGGAGGAGCGGGAGATGCGGCAGATGCTGAGGAGAAGCTCTCGGCGCAAGACCGGAAGTTTTGACCCCAAGAGCGACGGGCTGTGGAATCTGACCGGTCGAATGACGAACGGGTTGCACGGTAGGAGTACTGCTATACTTCATACGGATGGCCGGCATTGATGGTAATGTACTACGTATAATATGGGGACTTAGCTTTCCTGTACATCCAATTCTCAAGCGCAATGATCTTAATCACGCTCATATCGTTAATGGGACATGTTAGTCATATCGCCGCGAGGGGCACCACTAATAAATTGTGCATGATGTTTACCGAGTCCAACATGCAACAAGAGCCATATCGATATCCACCATGCACTGGTGCTGCAAGTTTTAGCGATCGAGCATCCAATCAAGGACAAGACGAAGCTTTCCAAAACGTGAACTTCTGGATTGGAGTGTTTCACGCTAAGCTCATCTAGGCCATTAGATAATCCGCCAACATGCACACACCACACACACCACACACACAACATCTCCTTTACTACTACTCCGTATATTAGTACCTGCTGACCCTTGCACCAACATGTTGCCAATTTTCTTCTGCGACACTCGCCTTGTCTTGGCCTTTGACCCATGGCTGTGAGTGGTGACAGTAATCATGAGTTACCACGGTGGGTGTTTGACACAAGATCGGCCCTATTGACATCCTCACCTCATGTCACGCCAGTGCCAGTCAAATGGACTCCAGTCTATGCATATCCGTACTGTGCGGTCTCTTTTCCCGGTCCCAGTTCCTCTTCCACGTACACCGCCACATCAGCTAATGATCCCGTTCGAGTCAGAAGATGTGTTGTCAGGTTGACTTCCAGTAAGCGGCCCCAGCAATGCAAGGGCTAAAATAAGAAACATGCCTTTCATGCACTTTGAGATATTGTCATCCTAGGCCGGCCGTCTCCAGCCGACAGTCGTCTCCCATGCAGAAGATCTGATGCAGAAGCAAGCTTCAAATCACGCGCACCAGGCAGGGATATCACTTGAACTGAAGTTAGCTCAAGTCAGAAGTCATTAGGAGTCCAATATTGCAGTATATTATCACTCAGTAGGTTCCTAGTGTCTCTGAAGTCGCTTAGAGGCTGTCATTTATCGCACATTGGCCCCTCTGGCTACGGAAGTACGGATGGATTCGTCCCGCATTTGGAAATGTGGTGGTGTCTTGTGCTCGTGGACAAGTCAATTCGGGCGAGTCTCTATCCTGCCGGGGCTCTCCCTTCAACACCGCCCTCCTTCTAGGTGCAACCTATACCTCACTCTAATTCTCCTCTTTCACTTTTCTTTTAGCATAGCAAAGTCATATGCCTTATACTCGACGTGGTTACTAAGGTCGAGAAGTCTTTCTTTACCAAGAGATACTATCGAATCCAGAGCCACGTTGTGCTAACAGGAGCCCCCCCCCCCCACTCCTCGACCTCTTATTAGAGCAATATTCAAGAATTCCTTCATTTCTCCTCATCACCTCAAAGTACAAATCAACATCTGCAAGCTAGAGCACTTCTGGTCATGAGGTTCCCTGATGACGACGGCTTGCCACTTTGGGTGTTCATCCTAGTGATTCTACTCACAATTGCAACACTAGCTGTGGTGTTATACGTGGTGTGGCGTGTATGCATCAGACGACCCAAAAAGCAGGGCTGCTTTGCCCTGGAAACATCGGAAAGCCCAGTGCGGAAGATATCAGTCAAGAGAGGACAGGTTGTCCGGGCGTCTTGGAATGAGTCACTTACAGGATCAAGGTTCGGTTATGGAGCCATCGGTGAGCAAAGCCGACGCCCCTCACCTCAATGGCCGGAGACAGCGTACTCTAGTGAACGTTACAATAGATTTCAGAAGCCAAGCTTCAACTCGGCAACACGCAGTATGCCTGACTCTCAAGACGACCCACGCTTCGCCTCAAGATGGTCGTGGTCAGACTTCGTTCGAAGGCGGAACAGGATTGGTTCGACGTCAGAGCGAGAAAGTATCCGAGCATCTTACATCTCCTTTTCCATGGACCATCAACAACTCGAACCCCCCATATCAAAGCCACCTTTTCCAAACTTTGGGCGAGACTGGCTAGATCCGCCAACTCCATTACCACCGATGACTCCCTTCACTTTGCCTCGAACCCCTGCAAATTCGGCTCCATGTCATGTGAGCACACGAACGGCGTCGAATTATGCACCTGTCCCACGACTTCCATCTAAATACCGTACATCTCGATATGGTGAGGATAATATCTTGGCCAGCAGTAAAACACAAAGGCGTTCACAGAAAGCAGAGTCGCGCTTCTCATCGATCTGGTCACGGCCGCAGGGACTCCGCTCCACGACTGTGACAAGGGAATCTTTCCTACAAGCGTGGTCCAATAAGTACCGAAGCTGGCAGGTGTATCCAGAATGTTTATCAAGCAATGTACCTGTGAAGCCAACCTCGTCACATGTTGAGGTGATTTCAATCACGGATTCAGCCTCGGAAGCTTTGGGTGAAAGTGAAATGGATGTTAGCTTACCCTCTATGACAGCAGCTCGATCCACTGTATCTGTCTCGCCGATATCGCGCACCGATTCTTGTGGGGCGGACTCGGTACGCTCACACAGGAAAGAGAGAGGCAGGCCTTTCGTGGAACCGCCGAGGAGCAGGAAGGAAGAAATATCTTGGCTAGTTGAAGGTTGACTGGCTACCTTATTGAAGTTCAACGGCGTTCCCAATCTTCATAAGCGCGTTCTCACAGTTGGCGGAATAGGATCTTCATGTCATACATTCACATCAATTTATGAAATGCTCTGAAATCTTCAAAGAACACGAAATGGCGTTGGACCTTCTCCAGAATGCCTATAGTTTCGCCCAAAAGTCATATCATTATTCGATTTCTATTCACTCGATTGTGCTGGCCTTGACTTACGTCTGGCAGACACTATTCTCGATCTCAGCTTTCTTGCAGACGTCGAATCTAAGCAACAATTTGGAGCCGCGATAAATCAAGGCTGCTGTAAGGCCATACAGTGTGGACAACTGTTGAATAGAAAGTGCTTTGAGAAGTTCATTGCCCCCACCTAGTTCCCATCTCAAACCCTCACTGCCGCAAAGGTCTAATACAATTTACTCCGCCCCAAAGTAATACATCTCCTTTACCTTGATATTCTCCTGTCTCCGTGAATATCCACCTCAACTACCAACATATATCTTTCCCATCAGTACTGCTACCCGCTGCTAATGAGACTTTCACTCCTTTTGCGAGTGGATTCCCGCTGTCGAAGACGTCCTCAGACCAGAGGATATCCCCAACGTGAGACATACAGACCTAGAAATATTGCCGGCAACATACAAAGATGCATTGTGAATTTGGGCCGGTTAGTACCAAATGGCCACTTTGTTCGCATTTGATCTAATTTACTGTTTCACATTCTGATGCTCAGTCCCGATAGAAAAGGCAAAGACCAAGACATTTTGATTATGGCTGTCGCTTTGTTCTCTCGACCACACCAAGAGATCCAGCAAAGATCTATCTAATGATTTTGAGATCATCTCGCATATTCTTGCGCACACACTATGTTAGGTATGTCTTGGAGCCATTGTAACTTCACTATGTGTAGTCAGCGGGATTCAATTGCCACAAAGCATTTGTCTCAGACTAATGAGATACCTTTGTCTTCTACTCATCGTTTCAGTCTCGTCTTCTCTTTCATCGCTATCTATGATGCTTCTAACGATAGCTGGAAACCTCTACGGTTCGCTGGGGATTTGGTATATCTAGTCAAGAAATGATCGGTATCGATCATGGAGTGTCTCCACCAACTTCCAACATGCCTTTCTGTACTCAGTGTAACCTTCTGCTCTGGCTTCTCTACTCAATGCTCGACTTGAGCGCTCTGTTCTGCATCCTCCTTTTATGTCTACTCTTCCTTTTGTGCCCCATTTTCCAAGCCGTTACCGTCTTCTTTCAGAGCACGCAACTGCCGCAGATTTCGTCAGTACTTTCAAGAGACACAATCCCTCGAAGTGAAGGGTTTCTTCCTCCTATTGGCGCAGTTCTGCAAACGCAAAAATTCCACGAACCCAGCGAGCTTTTCCAGAGATGTCCATACAATCGCCTCCACCGCGATCACTGTAGGTGCTCTCCCCTTGAGTCCATCTCATTTTCATCGCTAATCACCACTGTAACAGTGTATGGCCGATGTAGCTCTGGACGCTATCATCGCCATGCATGCCAAATGGAGGAGGACGGATGCTTTCGACCTTGTTGAGCTCCCTTTCTCGAGCTAAGGGTGCCCCATCCAAGTCACATCTAGGCAACCTTACGTTCACTTAAGAAATCTGGCTATGGCTCTTGTGATGCTGGTCGTGCAAAGTGGTGGATCTAGGAAAAGCACGGTGTTTTCTCTGCTGTTGTTCTTGAATGGATCGATTGTCGGCAGCATAATGCAGTGTTTTCGCAATATGGTGCTACAGACGAAGTCCCACTGCAAATCATGTATTTATTGCTCTTTTGGGGGCCGAAGTCAGAAGTCATTGGAGGGATAGAATTTTCGAATCAGTCGATTAGGATGTGATAGCCCAATTCGTTCTTGCCGCAAGTTCATGAAAGATACTCTAACTCCACCATCATCGACGAGATGGAAAACAATATCTGCCTAAACTGCCCTTTCTGAGACGTCAAGTCGCTTGTCGCTAAATTACTGGGAGTGGTACTATTAGACATGATTTTGCCCCCCTTCCTAGCCAAGCCTTTTGCAAAGCGTAGTTCTACCGAGGATGTGCCGAGGTTCAGTCCGGGGTTTCACCATAGCTTTACTTGACTTCTACTCTTTTCCACATGAGATCCAGCAATCTGGTCGGTCGGTCGAGAGAATGGCAGCGACTGGGCTTCTAGTTAGCCACAGTCAATACCCATTGATCCATGGATTTTGCAGTCGGCCAGGGACGGCTGATCCATACTAGTTTGCCGCTCTGGAGAGTCAGCCGCTGCAATCATCTTTTGTGCTTTGTGCCTGCTTCCTGGTCTCGGATGGAGCCGTATCATTCTCTACGGAGCAAACGACTTATCATGTCACTGTTCTCCCTATCCAAGCAGCGCTCTTTGCAAGTGCGGTCTCTCATCGGCTTGCAGCTTGAATGTCTTGGATCAAGAAAGCACTCCTACGTTGCAGAGACCATTCTTCAGTAGCAAACGCTTTCTCTGATGAATTCTAGCGAACGTTGTCTTTCAGAAGCTGAGACTTTCCGCTTTCCTGCTCCAAAAAGTATGCTCGCCAGTGCCGGGCCACTTGTCCTGTTTCTTTCGAAAAATTCGAGGCCTGCTATATTGTCTACCTATCTAGATACTTCCAAGCATCCTAGGTCTCGGTTGATAGCATCTCTATTCTTGCTTCCTTGGTCACCAGAAGTGATGTTTTCCGTTACCATGAAGTGACTGCTGCATGGTCGTCCACGATCTGATTCGTGCTCGATCCATGGGATTCTATCCAATGGTTATCTATGCATGTACACCCTGGATAGCTCGTAGGGTCTGAAAGGAATGCAGATGGAATGCTTCGGTGATAGCTCTACTGAGGTCTCCAGTCCATATATAAGGCGTGAAGGTCTCCGGGGAGCAAGACAATAATTTGCCAGCATCACCTTCAGCAATCTTCCATTTCACATCCAGCTTACCAACATCCTGAAGAAACAATGTCTGATACACCTCTATCCCTAGTTCTAGGCGTCCTAGCGTTCTGCCGCCGATTTGTACTCCCAGCGGAAATGATGGCGGACGAGAGTCATAAAGAAGCGCCAATCCTCATGGATCTCCCCTGGGTGGACGATGAAGGAGCAATTACCAACTATAAGTGTCCACCACCCGAGTTGGAGAAGATTCGGTGCCAATATCAATTACTCCCGAGCGAGGAGGGAGACTGCTCTGACGATGAGTCCACACCGCTACTCGGATCGGCAGAAGACTGGGAGCCTCCCTCGCCAGCACTTCCAGATGAGGGGACAGGCTCCTTGGCTGACAAGTCCACACCACTACTCGGATCAGAATCAGACGGAGAGACTTTCCAGCCAGCACCACAAAGTGAAGACACAGGCTCCTCCTCCTCACCACCACCACTCGACCAAGATGATGACTGGGGCCCCTACCAACGAGCACTTCCCAAAGAAGAAACCGACCTCATTACTCTCGATCCCACATCAACAGCACCATCCACTCCTGCTGTTGATTCCTCACCAGCGTCCAGCAACCCCAACACCGAGCATCCCCCGGAGCCAACGCTTCAGAATCACACGCCGCAAAGCGTCTCCGTATCAAACCCGCATCCGCCCTCCTCTATCCAAGATCCCGACCTCGATCCCAACTCGGTTCCACCAGTACTGGCCTTGAGCTCCCCCACCTCTCCGTGCTTCACGCATGACCTCGAGAAATATGATCTTCTCCGCCAGAACCTCAGTGACAAGGTGGACAGACTGCATAAGATTCTCTGCGCTGGAGATGATCCAGTATGCATGCACTGACTGATCTCTGGTTAAATAAAAGGGGTCTATGCCAGAAGGGAAGTTCGTACCTCGAGCGACGATGGAATCACGATAGGAAGATATGACTAAGCGTTGGAGCGGACGGAGCAATGGATGGTTAAGGGTGGATGATGAGAATGTAGTGCTGTTTTCATCTGCTGTTTTTGGTTATTGAAATGTCTTGAATATTTTTGCTCAATTTTCAAAAGGTTAGCACTCGCCATTTCTCCATGCTATGCAGTTCAGTTCAGCTACTACTAGAAGCTGTGAAATGATAATGCCAAGCCTTCACCCCCTACTAGTATTCTAGACAATTGCCTTTTCTGGTATCTTCACTCCTCCTCCATCATCTATACACACTCCCTCACATCTTACACCGCATCAACTCTCTGCACCACCATCACACTAGCTGCACCTCCTCCATTGCAAATGGCGGCACAACCGTACTCGCCGACCTTGAGCTGATGCAGCAGCGTCGTGAGGATCCTCGATCCCGAGCTCCCCAGCGCATGGCCCAGCGCGATCGCTCCGCCTAGGAGATTCACTCTTGCATTTTCGAGGCCTAAGATCTGTGTAACCATTGTCAGCATTCACGATCAGGGGAAAGGAGCGGGAAGAGAAACGGGAACTAACCCGTTCGTTGGCCTTGATAACCGCAGCAAAAGCCTCGTTGAACTCCCAGATTGCGATGTCCTCCTTCTTCAGGCCTGCCCGTTCCAAGGCAAGCGGCACCGCCTTTGCGGGCGCGACGGGGAAGTCCACCGGATCGATAGCAGCATCGGCAGAACTGATGATCTTCGCCAGGACCCTGTTGCCCAGTCCAAACTCCTGCGCGATGGCCTTTGAACCCAGCACCAGAGCACTCGCACCATCATTGAAGGTCGAACTATTCGCCGCCGTGACCGTACCTGTGCCATCCCGCACAAACGCGGGCTTCAGGGTAGGGACCTTGTCCTTCTTCAGGCTCTCGTATCCCTCATCTCTGCTTATGACTGTATCCCCCTTCTTCCCCTTGACGGTCACAGGAGCAATCTCCTCGTCAAACTTCCCAGTTTTCCATGCCTCCTGCGCGCGCTCAAACGACCGAATCGCATACGCATCCTGCTCTTCGCGCGTGACGTTGTATTTCTTCGCCGTCTTCTCTGCGCACACGCCCATGTGGATTTGATTATACACATCCCACAACCCGTCTCCAATTAGCCCGTCGTCCATCTTGATCTCCCCAAACGGCGGGTGCTGATTCGCTCGCGGCATGTAGTACGGCACCCGAGACATGTTCTCCATCCCGCCCGCGACTTGAGCTTCTGCGAGACCAAGCTGGATATTCTGAGCGGCGAGGATGACGGCTTTCAGGCCCGAGGAGCAGACTTTGTTTACGGTGGTGGCTTCGACGGTGGGAGGAAGGCCGGAGAAGATAGAGGCTTGTCGCGCCGGAGCTTGGCCTAAGCCAGCGGAGTAGACGTTGCCGTAGTAGAGGTCCGTTATCTTTGAGATGGGGACGTTGGATTTGCTAACGGCGGATTTTATGGCTGGGGGGCCGGGGGGAACTTGGGGAGTGCGTTAGTTGTAGAAAGAATGGTTGTGTGGTTGAGCGCTTACCCTGCCCGTAGGCGTTCGCGCAGCTGAGAGAATGTATGCATCCTGGATCTCTTTTCGTATTGGATTGGAGGATGAAAACTGTCTGTTCAGTTGCGAGAGGCGCTGTGTGGAGCGGGGTGAGGATACAGCGGTCGCCATGCGGGCTGTCGGACCCAGCTTCGAAGTAATCATGGTGGTTTGTGGCTGTCCACTATACTAGAGGAGAGTAAAACAGGTGAAGGATAGGAGGATGCGAGAAGACACATAGCTTCGACCGCCTCCTGCCTCTGCCCGGCATGTGAAGAGTGGATAAACGATAAAATGCGGAGAAGGATCCGCGGTAAGTACATATACATAACTAACTTTAGTTAAATATTGCCGCCGCCAGCCGAGCTTCTCCGCATTGAATCTCCTTTACTACGTAGTACTTTCCGCCAAGCACGCCACCCATATCAGGCATGCGACTTTAAGTATATCACCAGGCAGGAATGAGTATCCATTCGCATGGATTTCTCTGGCTTCGGCCTGGCTGTAAGAGCGCATTCCATAGGATTCCCGGATGCACGAGTTCATTGCTTGGAAAGGTATCCTATATTGAATCAATCAGAATCATTCAGATCTCTGACAACGTCTGGGAAGGGGTAACACCCATCCTTACTCAAGAATCCCCAATGGAATGTGAATATCAGGAATATCAGGTGGTCGAGTACGGTACAAATGATGACGACTACCACTATGCTCAGGCCTGATTCTAAGGCCTGATTCTAGCAAGAAGGTGCCACGCCCTAAAATCAATAAAAGAACTTGAAGCCAAAATTCCGCAACGCCAGAGTGTCCATTCAAACAATGGTAACTGGCCTGAGACGCTCCGCCACTTTCCAACTGTTCCTCAGCTTCTCGCCGTGCATGAAACCTTGGAGGTATGCCTCCCCAACAAGCCAGAAGTCTTCTGTCTCCGGCTTCGGTCGTAGAATCAACGGCGTTCTGCAATCTCGGATGAACCAGATCTGGTCACCAGCCTGGGTTGAATATGACCCCATGCCAATAATGTCTCCTTTGGTTTTGAAAAGTCTCCTATTGCGCACTTTCGGGGAGACTGAGTGCAGAAAATGCACTACTTGGGCGTGTTTACAGTTCCTCGCCAAATCTTGTATCGCTTGCCACTCAGTATCGTCAAGGAATCCGTGCAAGGCTATAGTTGCATTCTTCATTCTGTCAATAGTCTCTAAATTGTCACCACTCACACTACACCTCGTTTGATACATGGCAATAATCGTCATTAGAAACGCTTGCGAATACGAAGAGCGCGCCGGATGATTGGCCTCGTCTCCTATGCTTCCTGTGTCGAACATCAAGAGTCTTCCCAAAACTTCAGTGAGCGTCCAACCATTGGCATAGTAGCGAGGTAAGTACGAGAGAAATTCGCAAAACTCCTTGTGGTAGCCAGAATCATTGAGAGTCCCGTCCCACATGGCAACAGAGACTACATCGACATGATCGAGGGCCGCTCCTTCTAGGGTGAGTCTTGCACCTTCAACTTTACGAATGGGCGGTGGCAGCTTTGCGGCCACGGACTCATCAAGGGAGAAGAGGATATGTGGGGCGAAGCCACAGATTGGATTGGTATCGCTGAGTTGACTGTAATCGACTACCCACGAAGGAAGATTCAAAGGTCGGTTCCTGGCGATATCTCCAACATGGGCGAGAATACCGAGGTGTTGACAGTTCATGATGATTGTAGCTGTCGCTGAAGTGTATACCTCTTCAGCAGACCTGCCATAATCGGGCCTTATCAGCTGAAAAACTCTATCAGAAAAACGAGATGCGATCCCAAGAGTGGAATAGATCTTATCACGTGGCTCCGAGCTTTGTAAAGGTCGTATCTTTGATAATGAATCACTCATCCATGCGGTTGCCACCTCGATGTCCGTTCTCATGCCGTACTCATGTTCCAGGTCCCTGATCTTTGATATCACCTGTTGCGGCGGTGGTAGTACTTGTTGTATGGGTTTTCTCACATAAACTATACACTCTCGAATATTATCTATGCTCACCATCATAGCGCCTGCTCTATTAAAAAACTGACGCATATCTGACGATCCAGCGTAATTGGCCTCCATAAGCGTAAGCCATGGAGCCTTCATGAGGGCTTTGTACACATTCTGGAATTCGGCCCACGGAAACGCCCATCGCCCACAGCGAACATGTATTGCCCTTGATAATGCCACTTCTTGGGCCACCCATGCCCTGTGGAATAAGTGATGCGTAGCGAGGAAGGTTGTGATACGGAGCAGTTTTCCTGGAATATCATCGACGCCAAATATCAGTAGTAGCTCTGGATCCGATACAACCTTTGATTCCCAGTATTCAGAACCGCGGCGGACCGTTTCAGGGACCAAAACATCAATCGCCCACTGTAAATCCTCGGCCCCAGTTTCGTCCTTGCCTAGCCAGGCAATCGTTTCGTTTGTGGAACGATAAATTCGCGCCATTAGAGCTACTTGAGATGCTCGTTCTTTGAGATTGGACTGATCAATCGAAATGGAATCGACCCATAGCCAGTCGGTGAAGTCTGACCGACGAAGCTCCACGAGCGCGTCCTGCAGGTTTGGTGTTACAGAGAATGGCTGGCCGTTACAGAGAATGGATCGAATTTCATTTGGGAACTCCTCATCTCGAGGGTCAAAGAATTTGACTGGAGGACCCCAGGTATATGAGAGTGCATGATAGCAAGGTTCCTCGTTTAGATCGAATGACTGAAGTGTACATTCGATCTCCTGTTCCTGTCCAGACGCAGCATGTATCTTGAGCAAGCGGATCGAGCTGTCCGTACGAAGTTCCTCTCCAGGATAACTAGTCTCTTCCCTTGATAGGCTCATTAGCTCCAGGATAGGGGGCCCATTTCCCTCTTCCAGAGCGGGTTCGAGAGAAGGCAACTGGGCATCCATCTCATTTCCTGAGAGAAGCAAAGGCTCTTCCAAGGTAAGACAAGAAGATTCGTATCGAACTCTACACTGTCGAGTAGGACTCTAGACGTAAATAGGGCTATCCCCTCCGTGCCAGCTGGAGCAATTCGCGTCCTTGGCAGGTTTTGAGCTCGGATAAGGTTGTCCACAGAAGCTCATTCAACCAGCACTCAATTTCAAGAAAGAAGAAATAAACAACTCGGTAAGGGCTATAAAGCTCTGATTTCAGAGGATCTGCCCTCCAAATTCGTACTCCAACGAGCGGCTTAAGCAGAAGTTATCCCCTCCGTGCCCGATGTACCAATTAGCTTATTCTACATAAATTTAAGCTCAGATAAGGTTGTCTACAAGACCTCTTCTGTCACTTATCAACGCATCTATGTGTTCAAATTAGATAATTTAACAAGATTCAGAAAGATGTATTGTTAAAGACATTCCTTCTCAAAAAGCTGCTCGAATAACCTGCTTGTGCAGAAGTTGTAACAACACCAAATGAAGAAGATCTACAGCGCTAATTGACACATTCTACACCCCAGTTCGGGCACGGAGGGGATAGCAGCCTCAAATAAAGGAGATCTGCAACGCTAATTACTACCCCTATGTCCGTGTCATTTCAGCCGCATCCCTCCCTCCCCCGCCCCCACTGTGCAGCATCAGTCACTACAGTCATCCTGCAGCGGTGTATCAACCGAAGGGACGGGGTACTTGCCCGCCCACAAAATACCATGCTGCTCAAGCAGCGCAACTTTCCGCTTCTTTAGACACTGGAATGATCTGGCCTAAGTGCTTTGTGAAAATGCATATCAAGTACCTCACGGCAACTCAAGAAATCTTTCACCTATCTCTGTACGGAAAGACATCTTTCTCTATGCATTCAACGTTGTCGCTCCACTTCCTGGGACCAGTCGAGAGATGGATCCCCTCCCACGGGTGTTGTTTTCCCTTCCTTCCTGCCTTCTTTTCCACACCTCGAGTACCTTCAAACATTCTTCTTCCAAAGTCCGTACAAGGCTGACCTCATTCACAGCATATCTCTATTGCCTAATCTGCACCCATTGCTTTGGATTCAGCAGCGAATATTATATATGTTGGTCCGGTAGAACCCTGTAAAGCGACATTACAATAGCTGATTGCTGTATTTAATGATAACGGTATATCAGTTTCCATGAGTAATACATACTACGTCAAGTGGTCGATATTGATCCTTCAGCATCTCGAAAGGCCCTTCCACCCGGTAAATTGCGTGTTCCTGCCAGATCTCGTGGGAAAGGTTCTCATCGATTTTTCGGGGGATCACTTCCTGGCAATCAGCTTTCGCAGTAATTTTCCTTGGAAAGGCACAGCTCTTGAGAGGGAAACCCAATGGAGAGGCGAAGCCCATGTGACACCTTACCTGCCAGGACAGTCCGAGGACTTCGGATAGACCAGATGTGCGGGCATCTAGATATCCTTTCCACAAGGAAGATCAAGCGGTTGTGGGTACCGGATGTTGGAAAGGATGGCAACCGAGAGGAAGAGGATGGGTAAACCGAGGCTTCGGTCCAGTGCGGAAAGCCAGCAAAAGTCATGGCCACCATATGCACTAAGTTGCCTTTCGATAAGGTCATCACTTCTGATTCAACTTCAACTTCGCCATAACCTCAATCACGCAGCTCGCCTACGAGAATTGTGCTGATCTGGAAAATGAGCAAGACAACTACCCTCATCCCTTAAGATTGCCAGCAGATAACACTCCACCATGGGTTCCCTCGTAGTAGAAGACCCACCCACCATGGCTACCCAAGTCTTAACCCCGCTCAACGACCTCGAAACATCCTTCACCAACCTCCTAACTTCCCTAACCACAACACCAACCTACTCTGCTGCCCCCTCCGCTACCCAATCCCTCCTCGCTGCCGACACCTCTCTGACCAGCGCCCTTGAAGCCCTCTATAAGCACCAGCAGAACTACAGCCGAATCTTACAGCTCCGCGCCGAAGCCAGCAGGTTGGAAGTGCAGATCAAAAGCACGATAAGGACATGTGTCGATCTACGAAAAGAGATTGGGGATATTCACCCTAGTATCCTCTCACATTCTGATTGGGATGACGAGAACGATCCCGAAGCCGAGAACAAGAGAGATGTGGATTATCACACCCTATTATCGTTTGCGTCCAAGATCGGAAAACACAACACCGCTGCCGCGAAGGAGGCGGAGGAGGAATCCACCCGCCGCCTCATCGAAGCAAGGAAAGGACAAGATAAATCTACTGCGAGTGCCGCCGCTCCCCAGACGAATGGCACTACACACACAGCTACCGCACCAGGGGCAACGGGAACAGGAACGGAAGCCGGTACATCTACGGCTGCTGGCAATGTGAATGGGGAAATCACATCTCAGACTCTGAATCTGATACCCCAACACGAACGGGAATGGTTGGATGCCGAAGCGGCGATGGCAAGAGCGAGATCCGGAATGGCGTTCCCTGCGGCAGAGAATTTGAGGAAGGGTGCTCTTGGACGATTGCAGTGGATCCGGGAACAAGGCGGAGAGGAAGCGGTGGACAAGGAGATTGAAAGCTTGATTGGGGGTGGGAAGGAAGGGAATATCGTGAAAGAGGCTGGAGAGGATGAGGATGTCGTTGTAAAGGAGGAGGTGGTGGAGACAGCAGCAGCAGCAGGGAGGCAAGGGGTGGGTGTTGGGCTGCCGAGCCGACCGCAGCAGCAGCAACAGCAGCAGCGAGCTGCAAAGGAACCCGAGAGGAAGAAGAGCCTGGCGCTGGATCTGGACATGTGGAAAAGTGATGACGATGATGATTAGCAGCGTTAGCACTAGCATCGAGGTCGCTTCCGCTGCGCTGAAATATCAACATCATACCAAACCATGTGGCTTGTATGAGCCCTTACTCTCTCTACGGCCGCAATGTCACAGCAGACCAGTACTGTGGCACGAGCTGACATGTATGAAATTTGAAAGCAAAAGCATCAGCATGCAGGCGTGCTCGAGTCCGAGTGCGTGCTCCAGAACCCCCGCCAAGCACCTCCCCTGACGATCTCAGGTAGCCAGCTGACGATATGGGCCCCGATGCCGTCAACGGATATGCTGCACTCTTCTGCCCGGTAAGGACCATCTCAGTACCACAACAAGAGACGCGTATTCTGGATCATCATATGATGAGAATATTTCCGGCCACAGTGCGCTTTAGAGACAACGAGATCTGAATTCAGATCTTGGATGACCCCTAGTTAGCTACCTATTCTCATGCACTCATGTACTCCGTTAAACGGAGTCACGATTAGGCGTAAGCCTAGCGCCCATGTATGGCTCTGCTGCCAGTGCCAGTGGCATGATTTTAGGAGGAGTCTCTTCCTGCCAGCTAAGCTAATATAATGTAATGTGTGCTCTAATGTCTTTGCCAGAGGAGTCACTAGGTGAAGCCTAGTGTTCATTATGTTACATTACCAGCCCTCACAATCGCATTCGGCCTTGTCCTTTATGTATCTGTTACCTGACCATGCCCACTTTCCAAGTATTCATTGCTTTGACTCCATTCTCCTTGCTTTGTCTTCGCTACGCTCGCCATCGTTTACTTCCTTCCGCTTCTAATAAAACCCATCCTCAGGCAAAGGTCGCTGTGTCCTTTGCATGATCCTCTAGTTAGTCCTACCTCCTAGTCGAGCTCGGAGTGTTTCGCGCTGTTTCTTGGTAATACGAGTCTCCGTCTTCCGTTCGACGATGGCCCTCTGCTCCGCATAGACGCCGTCACATACGGATGCTTCAGCAGCCAATCAGGTCGATTTAGTAGCCCTGTGAGAAGACCTCCGTGATTGGTTGCCAGATGAGCCGCGTGGAGTGCTCAATGGAGAGGGCTGGGCAAGGTGTCCATTCTGCTGGGAAGGATTCGAAGCCGGAGAGAGCCGCGACAGCGAACCAGACGATGGCACAGATTGCATGCTCGTTCCTTGCCGGGTGGAAGGGGTCGGAGAGGGGAGGGTCAGTTGCTGATAAAGTGCCTTTGACCCTGAAGAAGGAGGAGGGGGAGGGGCAAGGGCAGAGCTTCCGGCCACGTGTGGCGTCGCAGCAGATGTGGTGGGGGCTTGTCTTGGGCCCGTTCCGGATGAGGAGAATGAAGAAGCCGCGCTGGTTGGAGCGGTCGATCCTGACCTCCAGGACAGATTGGACGGCGATGGATGGGCAGAGATGGAGTGCGAGAAGGCAGAATCGCTGACAGTCCGCGTGGACACAGCATCGGTGTCTCTTTCCCAAAACGCAGAATCGTTGACACTTCTCAAGGACGCACCTGCCAGTAGTCTAGACTCGAGCACGAGGTCTTGTACGCTGCGCCTTTGCCGTGCTCTACTGCTGCCACAGCCCATTTCTGCTCATCTAAGATTCGTATGAATATGGGAAAATGAAAGATAGCGCTGGGTTTGATTATGGGTTCGGTGGTGTTACGCGGGATATTGAATGAGTAGAAGAAAGTGCTGTTGTATTATGCTCATCCGTAGCTGGAGAATAAGGCTCGCTTATATAGCATGTTTACCAGCCAACCCACTTATCCACTGTAAGCACGGTTTCAAGATAACGAAGGTTGAAGTATCCCATGGGTGGGTCACACACCACGTTCCACTGTTTGCGAAGACCCTCCCGTTAGAGGAGCAAAGCAAAAAAAGTGGGTATTGGAACAAGGCAGTTCAGCATCACACTGTGCGTGGGAAACGATGCTTCGAGGTTGACATAAAAATTTTGCCGAGAGAGGGTGTGCATACCGTTTTGTGCAGCGATGGTGAAACATACACGATGCTCGTCAAGAACACAGAACTCGTTTAGGGCTACATAAGAGAAAAGTCTATTGAATCATGAAACGATAAGGATGCGAGGTTTGTCCAGTCAATGACTCAAATGTCCACGGCAGATGTAGGTCGTCTCTTTATACCCACCACTCCACAACACAATGATAATTGATCGTAATTGGTCAGATCGGTTTTCATAGAAGACGGGTGGACTCGTATCTCAATCAACGAGAGTCTCAGGCCATGAGCCTCACAGCCCAACTTCCCGATTAATACTATAGGAATCAGCACACTGCCGATCGTGGATAACTGGATGGAAACGCCCTGGTCCTGAAGACTATGATCCTCGATCCCACCTTCAAGCTGATCACTGAAGAATATAGATCTTAAAGCACGCTAGATGACCACTGGGCTTTGTATGTATCAGAGAATCTCAGGAATGGGCACAACATAAGAGCAGGATGGGCGGTTTAGCAATGCCTGTTCCAGAAGACGAGTCAGAGAAGCCAGTCGCCTAGGTCTGCTGATGATATTGTTAGAACAGATGCTGGTCGAAGTGTACATCATGCATCTCACCCAGATGATCCTTAACAGTTGGGCCGTGGGCCAGTAGCATGGGTATCACTTCAGCAAACACCATCCCCCCAGAGCTGCAAAAAGTCTCACAAGTGATGCAGTAATAGTAATATATGGTTGGGGAATGAGAGGTATATAGGTATGGTAGGCGAAACAGTCTTATTTCAACAGCGATAGATGGCCAGCTCATCGCTACCTAGACCAACGCTATGCAGAATGCCTTTTGAACAAAACCAACGCACGAAACCGTGCTTGTGGTAGGACGTATCAGCAGAAAGTCAAACCTGGAACCATGTTCCTGTCTTCAGAGCAGTAGATAGATTTCACGTAAAATTTAGAGGCTCAAGGTGAGCTAGTGGCAGCCCGCTTGCCCCAACCACTGAAAAATCCACCTGCAGCGCTGGAAATGCCGCTTTTCGGAGTCGTTGAAGGCGTCTTTGCCTCATGTGGTTGGTGAAGATTACTCGTCTCAATCGTAACGGCACGGGCAATCACTGAAGAGGATGCAGCCTGACCGCTGACAATCTTCTTCAAAGCGTCAAGCTTGCCTTTGACTTCTTCAAGCTCCTGTCTCGCGACCGCTTCTGACGTTTTGGCATTGACCAGTTCCAATAGCAGGGCATCCTCGGCAGGAGGCTGTTTGCTCTCGGTAGCCGTCACCGCTTGCATGTTCAGGCTGCTAGAGCGTTGGTTGAATGCCACATTTTTCGAGATATCGGCTCGGCCCAGCTTGAACTCTCGAAGACCTGCTGGAGCAAAGGACATCCTGTGCTCGCGAAGTTCTGCCGTGGGTGAAGGGCTGGCCTCATTGGGAGACTCCGGAACGGGTGACCGCTGACCACGGAGGTCGTGGATCGTCCTCTCCATCCGCTGCTTGTCTTTGTGAGTATCTTGAATTCGAGCTCGAGCTTCCCTTAGCTGTTCCCTCAATGACGACTGCTCGTTCTCCCGTTCATCAAGGTGCTTCATCAATTCCTGGCATCGAGCAGCCTCAAGGTCATGCTTTTCTTTCCATTCAGCAGCCTCATCACGCAACTGATGTTTTGATTGCAATATAGAGGTTCGTTTCGAATCACACGCGGAGAACCGTAGGCATGCTTTGGCAATAAGCTCTTCTGTACGTTTCTCCTGTTCTGTCATTTCCCCTTCTGCAATCTCTCGCATGTCTTCAGTCATGGACTTCAAAGACTCAACAAGCGCTCTGGAGATATCACGATCGTCTTGCCGCTCCTCTCTCTCCCGTTGCAGATCGCTAATCAACGAGCTTTGCTGGCGCTGCATGTCAGACATTGCCTTGAGCAGGTCTTCGATTTGATTTTCAAGGTCTCTTTCTTTATGACCCATAATGCTTCGATCAGAAGATGTGCTCTCGGACTGGACCTGATCGGACTTGCGCAGAGTCAAGGAGACCTCGGTGGCTAAGGTGCTGGTTTCGGAGGTGCCTTCATATGAGTTGATGGTTGAAGACAAGCTTTGTTTTGATGGCGTTCTCCGGATTGAACTTGTAGGCCGTGACGGAGAGGGGAGCGGAAGGACTAGGCTGGTGGCTGACTTCGAAAAGGAATGGGCCGATCCAGCCCAAAATCGTCCGAGTAGTTGTGACGCTGCACTTTTCAGTGACGGCACAATGGCCAGACTTTTAGATTCTTTGAAGCTGAGCTCCAATGACTGTAGCGACTCTCGGGTAACCAAGGTGGTAAGTGACACGAAATCAGCCACCAGCTCGTCGGCTTGTTGAGCGTATGTATCCCACAGACCCCTAGACAGAAGGAACTGCATCACATCCTCAAACTCGTTGCAAGCCAGAATCTTCTTCTCGTTGCGCTTCATGAGCGAGAGAGCAACCCGCATTAACGTCTCCGTCGCGCCCTCGGAGAGAATAACATCGTAGATTCTCAGCAGCATAGGAAGTGGACACGTAACAGCAAAGAAGGACAAGAACCACTGGGAGACATACAGCGGCTCCACCTTCAGCGCATCGAGATAATTAGATATTTCTGGAAGATGCTGTGCCAGGAGATGCTGAAATTGGTAGATCCGAAGGTGAAGGCCAGACAGATCTGGTAGATAACAAGAACGGAGATCATAATGCTCCATCAACCTTTGTTCGTTTAGTACAGCGTATCGCGTTCAAGGAAATTGCTCACCTGACAAGCACACAGAAGGCATCTGCATCGTTCATGTGCATCAGAAGTGGTCCCACCACAAAACCCAGACCTTGACAATAACCAATCTTGTTGTCGTACAAGCTGAAACATTTGAGGACGCGACCCAACATCTGCTGGCCTTCTCCGTCTTTTTCTCGAAACATCTCTACACTGGGAAAACTTCTTCCAACATCCTTTCCGATAAGCCCTTCATAAGGACTAGTCTCTCCACATAGCTTTTCATACTCTTCGTGCAGCAGAGCATCTCGTGCTCCAGATATGCTTGGCCATACCACGCCTCTCAGCGGGGGAGGGACACCGCCGCGGATCTTGTTCGAGGTTAAGGTTGGCAGTCTTTGGGCAGTTTGAGGGTAATCGGCCACCAAAGCAGCCCAGAACTCAAGCTCCGTCATCTGAGGAGCTGGCACCTGTGAATACCGAAGGGACTTGCGCACACGTCCATTGACGAGTTTCTTCAGCTGTTGCATGGAGGGTGGGCGAGTATTGCTACGTAGGCGAGGGGAAGTGGCCAGACCGCATTTCGGATTGCCAGCGAGAGCAGCATTCTCTTGCTCCAATCTGGCCAGCAGCAACGCGGTCGACTCATCTGTACCCTCGTCCCGCGGTTCCTGCTCTTCGGACTTGTCCAATTCATCCCAGTCCACGGTGTCGTTGACAGCAGAGTCTGAGCCATTGCTAATGCTCGTCGCTCGACTGGATAAGCTAGAGCAGTCACTTTCCGTGCGATCAAGTGAGCAGAGGGCTTGTGGTTCTCGCTGGTATGGCTGGTCAATCAAGCCGACATCGGATAGTCGGACAGTAACCAAGGAGTCGGTATCGTGTGGAGAGGATGGATGCTCAAAGGCAGAAATCTCATCTATGATGACAGCAGTCTCCGTCATCGTTTGGATGAGAACAGCGGGTATGGGTTTCAAAAATTCATATGGTAAAGAGAGTGGAAATTGGTGAAAGAGTGTGACTGAATTGGTGGTGATTATTTGGATAGTTGGATAGAATAAAGGAGTGAGGTATGCTGTTCTAGCGGCGAACAATAGTATGGTGGAAAGTTAAAGAGTGACTTGGATCGCAATGACGACCAGCGACCTTGCAATGGATTCTGATGCTGTAAGAGAGCGTGGGGTGGAGTACAAAGTGTCTGATAGCAGTGCAGGAATTGGGGATAACAGTACTGGACGTGGGCATTCAGGAGTCGGGATTCGTAGCCTTTCCGCTTTGGGAACAGTGACACGCTAGGTGATGCCCTGATGCCCCAAGGAAACATGAAGCTTGTCTTGCTGCAGCCTCCTTTCTCACCACAGACATGCAGACATGCAAACAAATAATCAGCTGGAAACAGTCAAGATTATGCAGTATTGCTCCAGAGACATACAAACTTATCAATTCAGTTGTCCAGAAGGCTGAGTGCTTCCTCAAACTTGGGGGAGTCCATATCTTATTGATGTCCGTTCCCGAACGGAGTTGGCATGGTTGCTTTGTTCGTGCGGGCAATTATTCCCATCGTTCAAGACCCTGTCGAGAAGGGAACTACAATCAGCTACGGGTTTCCGTTTCATGTGACGCATAGAATCTTTGTTTGCTTGGCTGCGTGTTCTCGTTTCGCGGCCGCCAATTGGTGTGGCAAGTTCGTCGGGAGCTCATCCTCCAAGCGTTTCAAAAATCCCAGCACCTCAACTGTGATGTCAGATGAGCTCTGGTTTTCATGTTTTTCGATCAATGCTAGTATATGCACTATCATGTTGGACATGGGTGTAATCATAGGAGCGTTAAACAACAAGCACCAATATCAGACCAAGCTACAGTGCTGTAGAGTGACAAAGCTCCTTGATAGTTACGACTCCCATACTATCAGATAACCAGATTCTGTTCGGCTATGCAGTTCATCCTTTGATTGTGGTACAATGTTATCCGTTCCATTAATTGCTGTAGGGAAGTGTCCTAGGACAATTTTACACGAGTTGTCTGTAAGGATAAGCCTATGCAGACTTAAGAACTCGAAAAATATGCCAAGATAGAGCGCGAAGTGTTAACGCGACGCGGTTCTGATTGGCCTATTGGGTCTTGGCACGTAAACAACAGTTGATACCCAATAGTACTTGTGCCTTGCCTCCTGTCGAATAACCTGAACTACCTTTAAGGTAGAGCAGTCATTGAAGCGGTTGCCTGAATCAACAATGCTTGTTTCAGGTGATTCGGTATTTATCTAAATCCTCACGCCAGATAAACGTCACTGTTACCTACTTTATCTTGGGCGAAGCGACGCGATCTCAGCGCTAGAAGTCAAGATGGCGGACGAAAGCATGTTCGACGACTATGGAGATGGATCTGATTTCGAAGTGGCTGTAAGTGCTTTTAGCAAATTCGACCTACCATTATTCGCAACCATGTTCGCAGGCGTTAATGAAATATTCAGAAACCAAAGGCAAAAGCCCCACGAAAGGCTCCCAAGAAGACGACTGCTAGTAAAGCGGCACCGAAGAAGGCGACCCAGGCCACGCTGAAATCCACAGCAAAGACCAAAACCACAGTATCAAAAAAGCGTCCCACACTCGAGTCGGAAGATGAGGCCCCGAGGGCAGTTGACAATGCATTCGACGACGAATCACTGCTCTCGCACACCCCTCCAAAAGCCAAAAAACCAAAGACCGACCCCAAACCATCCAAGTCAGCCAAGAAGCCGCTTGCTGACGTCGTTAACGAAGCCATGGCAGTGGACGGTATCGTTGAGGAGAAGCCTAAGAAGGGCAAGAGAGTTTCGGAGCAATATCAGATGATCTCCCACCTTGAGCACATTATAAAAAGGCCTGACACCTACATTGGTTCGACCGAAAGGAGCGAAAAGCAGATGTGGGTCTACAACAGTGAGCACGAGAGCATGGAATTTCGTGAAATCAGCTACGTCCCTGGGCTTTACAAGATATTCGATGAGATTCTTGTCAATGCTGCCGACAATAGGCATAATGACAAGAACATGGATGAGATCAAAGTTAACATTGACCGAGAACAAGGAGAAATCAGTGTTTGGAACAACGGTCGCGGGATCCCGATCGAGATTCATTCAAAACAGAAAATTTACATTCCTGAAATGATCTTTGGCAATCTCCTAAGTTCTTCGAATTACGACGATGATCAACAGAAGGTCACTGGCGGCCGTAATGGTTATGGTGCGAAGCTGTGCAACATTTTCAGCACAGAATTCACCTTGGAAACTGTAGACGCGCGGAAGAAGAAGAAGTACAAGCAGACCTGGACCAAGAATATGTCCGTGAAAGGTGATGCGAGGATCACAGACTTCAACGGCGAGGATTACACGAAAGTCACTTTCAAGCCCGATTTTGCCAAATTCGGAATGACTGGTTTCGACGATGACTTTGAGGCTCTTGCAAAACGGCGTGTGTATGATCTAGCAGGAACGTGCAAGGGCATCGCGGTACGGCTGAATTCTGCACGTGTGCCAGTGCGGAGTTTTCAGAAATATATGGAAATGTACACCAAGGCCATCAAGAAGGAGAGGGGAGAGGAGGCTGTCAATGACAAATCAAACATCATCCACGAGGTTGTCAACGAGCGCTGGGAGATCGGCTTTGCGGTTTCAGATGGGTCGTTCCAACAAGTCTCCTTCGTGAACTCAATCGCTACAACCTCAGGTGGCACACATGTGAACTATGTCAGCGACCAGATATGCAACAAATTGGCCGACATTCTCAAGAAGAAGAACAAGGGTGGACCTGCCCTCAAAACCAATCAGATCCGCAACCACCTCTTCCTATTCGTCAATGCGCAGATCGTCAATCCTGCTTTCACGTCGCAAACGAAAGAACAGCTCACCACCAAATCCAGCCAATTTGGTAGCACGTGCTCCGTCAGCGAAAAGTTCATGAAGGCGGTTCAAAACACCGATGTTATCACCAACATCCTTTCCTTTCTCGAAAAGAAAGCGGACCAGATTCTCAAAAAGAGTGATGGGAGTAGAAGAAGCCGGATCAGCAATCCTAAGTTGATTGATGCAAACAAAGCTGGCACGAAGGACGGTTGGCAATGTACCCTGATTCTTACAGAAGGTGATTCAGCCAAAGGTCTTGCGGTGGCAGGACGGTCCATGGTCGGTCCTGATCTCTTCGGGGTTTTCCCTCTTCGCGGAAAACTGCTTAACGTCCGGGACGCTTCCATTGACCAAATCTCGAAGAACGCCGAAATCCAGAACATCAAGAATTTCATGGGTCTGCAGCATAAGAAAGAGTATACAGATAGGAAGGGTCTTCGATATGGTCATCTAATGATTATGACCGATCAAGACCATGACGGAAGCCACATCAAGGGTCTTCTTATCAATTTCCTTCAGGTGGCTTTCCCCAGCTTACTCAAGCTCCCTGGCTTCTTGCTTGAGTTCATTACTCCTATCGTGAAAGCCTGGAGAGGCCCTATCTCGAAGCCCACAGAGGTGATTAGGTTCTACACGATGCCTGAGTACGAGAGGTTTAGGGAGGCCCACAAACATGAGAAAAAGTGGGAGCACAAATATTACAAAGGATTGGGAACCAGTACACCACAAGATGCGCAACAGTACTTCTCAAACTTGGATAAACATCTCAAGGAATTTCACACCATGCAAGAAAACGAAGCAAATCTCATTGATCTAGCCTTTTCCAAGAAGAGAGCAGATGAACGCAAGGCATGGCTTGGCGACTTCAAGCCTGGCACATATTTGGATCACGGTGCAGTCGATAAGATCACGTATGATGATTTTGTCAACAAGGAGCTCATCCTCTTCAGCATGGCGGATAACATCCGGTCGATTCCATCCATGGTCGATGGTCTGAAACCTGGCCAGCGTAAAGTTCTGTTCACTTGCTTCAAAAGGAACCTACAAAAAGATGTCAAGGTCGTTGAGCTTGCAGGGAGCTGCAGTGAGATGACAGCATATGCGCATGGTGACACTTCCCTACAGCAGACCATTGTCGGCCTTGCTCAGACCTTTGTGGGGTCGAACAATCTCAACTGTCTCGAGCCGAGCGGGAACTTTGGTAGTCGCCTGCAGGGAGGCAGTGATGCTGCAAGTGCTCGTTACATTTACACTCGACTATCGCCCTTTGCCAAAAAGGTCTTTCATCCTGCTGATGAGCCACTTTTGACTCACAACCTCAATGATGGGAAGAAAATAGAGCCGCAAACATATGTGCCGGTGGTGCCGCTGGTACTCATCAACGGCACAGATGGAATTGGTACGGGCTGGAGCTCTTCAATCCCCAATTATAACCCTGAGGAAGTCGTTGCTAACCTCAAGCGCATGATGGACGGTGAGCCATTCCTTCCAATGCTGCCTTGGTTCCGTGGATTCGAAGGTACGGTTCAAGAATCTGCACAGGATCGCTACAAGTTCAGTGGCGTTGCCCAAAAGACTGGAAACACTGAAATTGAAATAACCGAACTGCCTATTCGAGTGTGGACGCAAGATTTCAAGGACAAACTTGAGGACATCATCAAGGCCGAAAAGATACCGTCATTCATCAAGGATTACAAGGATTACAACACTCACGAGAAAGTACGCTTCGTGATCCAGATGGAGGAGAAGCATGTGCCCAGCGGGACCGACGAGGAAGTCAAGAAAGAGCTGGAGGAGAAGTTCAAACTGAGCAAGTCAATAGCCACGTCGAATTTGGTTGCTTTCGATGCTGAGGGTCGCATTGCGAAGTATGCCACGGTCGAAGACATCATGAAAGATTTCTTCCGTATTCGCATCCTCTACTATGAGAAACGCAAGGTTCGTTTCTCTTTCAGCGTTGGCTATCAAACAATACTAACTGAGAGCAGCAATGGCAGCTGGCAGAGATGCAAAGAAACTTGGACAAGCTCAGCAATCAAGCCCGCTTCGTACAAATGATCATCGACAATAAATTGACCATCTCAAAGAAAAAGAAGAGCGTCCTGATGAGCGAATTGAAGAAGTTGGGGTTCATGGCCTATAATAATGTGGAGGACGCCCAAAAGGCCGGTGAGAAGCAGCAAGTAGCTGAAGAGTCAGAAAGTGAGGAGGATGCTGCAGTTGGAGCGCATGATTACGACTATCTCCTTGGGGTATGATCTTTGCCGTATCTGCCCTTGGTATTGTGGCTAACCGTTTCAGATGCCATTGTGGTCTCTTACGCAAGAACGTGTCGAAAAACTGCGAAGACAAATTGGAGAAATCGAAACAGAGGTCGACACCTTGATCAAACTCAGCAAAGAGGACCTATGGAGACGAGATCTCGACAGCTTCATTGAAGAATGGAGAGTGCAACTTGAGGAAGAGCATAAGCAAAAGCGCCGTATCAACAACATGGGCCGTCGCACTTCTAGCAAAGTCAAAGTTGCAGCATCCGGCGCAGCCACCAAGAAGCGTAAAGGCTTAGGCGATTCCGATGACGATGATTTTGATGACGGGCCCAAAGCGAAGAAGCCTGCTCCTCCCAAGGTAAGGAGAATAGAAGTCAAGCCTGAAAAGAAGAAAAATACTCTTGAAGGCTTTTTCAAAGGGAATGGGACACTAGGAAAAAATCCAGCCCGGAGTCATGACGGCAACAGCTCCGAGATGGAGCCAGAACCGGAAGTTGTTCAGAAGGCTGCGGATGCGAAGAAGGTGAAGGTGACAGCCAAACCAAAAGCGGTTCCTACTTCCGAACACTCTGACGAGGAAGAGATCATTAAAAAGCCGGCAGTAAAGAGAGCGCGAGCTGCGGCTTCAAAGCCTATCCAGTATGCTGTGGGTGGTGGAAGCGACTCTGATGGCTCGAATGGTGATGATCTATTGGGCGACATTACCAGCATGGTCAAGGGTCTTCCCGGAGGAGAGAATAAGTCTTCGACCGACAGCAAGCCTTTATTCTCCGCTTCTCGTGGCATTCCAAACAACAGTGCCAGCCTAAAAGCCGCAGTACCTCCTACTGCCACGAAAAGTTACGCGGAAATCTCCGACAACGACGATACCAATTTCATGGGTCTGGTACCTCAGCAGTCTCCTCGACGATCGATCAACGTTACGAAAAACGCTTTTCTCACAGACGATGAAGACGAGGACCAAGACGGCATCCGCCCGCTCACTACGAACAAATCTCGCCCAGCAGCCGTCAAGCCTGCGATACCTGCACCAGCAGTGAGGGCTAAACCCGCTGTAAAGTCCGAATCTGAGAGCGACGACAACGAGGAAGACGAGGACGAGGATGACGTCGTGATTACCAAAACTAAAACCAAATCTCGCCCAGCTGCTTCATCAAGCAAACCAGCACCAGCACCAGCCACAGCGGCATCGAAACCAAAAGCATCCAAGGCCGCTACCTCAAAACCAGCAGCAGCAGCAAAGAAAGACCCAGCCACCAAGAGAAGCAAACCCGCACCAGCAAAGAAAGCTCCCGCTCCCTTGTCCCCAGCGGCAAAAGCGTACGCGGCCAAACAAGCCAAGAACATCAAGAGGAACAAATTGCTTGATTCAGACGACGACGGAGACGAAGCAATCGACGCCATGGCTGATGATTTGCTGGACTCGCCTGTCCCCGATGGTACCGGCTCTGGTGCGAGGAAGGAAGCCAGTGATGAAGAAGACTCGCCACCTGTGAAGAAAGCCGGTACTGCGAGGCCGGCGCGGAGAGCGGCAGCGGCGAAGAAGAAGCCTGTGTACGTGCTCAGTGATGACGACGACGAGGAGGACGGCGATGGTCAGGTCGGGTTCGAAGACGAAGATGACGACCCTGTCGTTGACTCCGAGACGGATGAGGGGTTCTAGGTAGTGATTGTCCTTCCTTCGATTCGGTGGGGGGATCAAGGACTTGCTTGTGCAATGGCGTTTCTGGGAAAGGATGCAAATTCGGGACGCTTCCCTAGCAAATCATCTCTGCTTCATCTTCGTTTTTTTCCTTCTCGCCTCTTCGTCTTCTGGATTTTCGTATCAATCATGGAATTGAAATGGTAGCATTGCGCGTGCCATCTGCAGAGCTCGCTAGCTAGCTAGTTAGTTAATTCGTTACACGTTTGTTCGATATCCGGTCCAGCAGTCCGTACGTACTTCGAATCTCGCATCTCGCATCTGGGCATCTATCGTACCGCCAGCGAATACCCTTGCTCTGCTCTGCCAATCAGCCTCGAATCGACCAGAATCCCAACGAAAGATAAAACAATCTCGACATCAGAATCCATCCGAAGCGCGGCTATTCATAAAAATCAAAGTCAAGTTACTCCGTAAATCTATTTAACCTGGTACATGGAAACCAAGCAGAAGCAGAAGCAGATTAGAAAAAATGCCCCGTCCTCGGAAACCCCCAACTCACCCACCCTTTTCTCCCTCATCATACAGTTCAGTTCAGTTCATACATACACACCCTCCCTCGCCAGTTAGTAAGCGGTAACTCAGATGAGAGACGCGTGAACGGCACGGCGAAAAGTAAAACGAGCACATTCCGCCCTTCCTTCTTTCCATGAAACTTAGGCAGCGAAGGGAGGATGCGCGAGGGAGAGAAAACGCTGATATTGCCCATCGCTGTCACCGTTGGGGAGAACGACGGCGCTGCGGTCCCTCTATCTATCTGGCTGGGTATGGCTGACTACGGAGTACTGTTTATGTATTTACGATGTAGGATCTGCATCACGCCCTGAGCGGGAGCGGGAGTAGGAGTGGGAGTGGAGTGGGAGCGACGGGATTGGTGCACAAGAACGCAGTACCAGTAATAGTGCGTCCGCTGTAACTAGTGGTAGTAGGGTGTACTACGTACGTAGTATAGTTCGTCCTCAAGTTTGCAGGGAGGAGAGAGAGAAGGGAGAAGTGTGGGTGGTCCGATTAGCAAACACCTATACCTACCTGGCTAGCTAGTTGTCTACCTCAGCTACCTAACTTTAATCGCTGCGCCCATTGCATCCGGAAATCTAAGATGTTGAGAAAGAGAGCTCTGAGCTACCCGAACCTTCTGCCTGCCTGTCTCAAACAGACACAGGAAAAGACAAAGACAGAGGATAAGGAAGAAGAGGGAGGATACCACGCTTGAAGCTGACTTCCCCTTTCCCCTTTCCCCTTCCCCCCCACCAGCGTTGCTTCTCCTATCAACGAACCAAACCCTCTTTTTCCATGCACAGCAGCAAGCAAGCCGGCAAGCAGGATGACGTGAAAAATGATGGAACTCTGTAGCAGCGGTAGCGGTAGAATTGCAGCTGCTGGACGGAGCGGGATGCGAGGATGCCTGCCATGCATCAATGTAGACAAGCCGTTGCGGAAGATAAAAAAAACCAGGTCTTTTATACACGGAGAAGGGGACATTAATACAGCTGGCTTCTGCTTTCCGACTTGCCCAAACAGCGAGCGAGATATGGAGAAGGATTGAGAGAGAACCGAAGAAACAGCTCTCCGAGAGTCCCTCCCACCAGGTTGAAAGGTCGCAGGATGAGAGAAGCGCAGAAGGGGACAAAAGGCAAAACTCCTAGCACCTCATCCCATGGGGTCATCACCTCGAGAAAGACTGTCTGCTTTGTCCGCCTCCGAATCCACCTGATCTGCGGTCTCCTCCGAAGCCACCTCGATCACCGCCTGATCTGCCGCCAAAACCGCCTGATCCCCGGTCGCCTCCTCCAAATCCACCTCGATCACCACCTCCGCTGCTAAATGGACCTCGGTCGTTAAAGCTATCTCTTCCACCTCTTCGATCACCGCCGAAGCCACCGCCACCACCACCAAAGGCATTGGTCCGACGACCTCCAAATCCACCTCCTCCCCGTCCGAAATCTCCTCTGTCGTCGCCGTAATCCGGTCTTTGGTCGGAGACATTGAGGCCTCTGGTGCGGTTATAGCCCAATCTACTGACAAAAACTGGCGACACTGGTGGTGGTGTCTGCATGCCCCATCCATTTCTGGCCAGACCATTAACCAGGTCCACAACGGTTTGATGGTTTCTGCCGCCTTGGCCCAAGGCACTGATCATGGAGGCATATGCCTGATTCTTCAGCCTCATTGGTGTGGATTTGACTCCAGACTCTACCATTTGCAAGATATTTGCAGTGCTTGCTGGTAGTTGCGCTGACTGGCCCATGTCGATTTGAGCGGTCCTGAGAGAGCTGTCTGGTCTGATATTGAATTCACCACGGCCGAGCATACGGCGAAACGCCAGCTGTTCGTCTTGTTGAAGCAACAGCCATCCTTCGCCTGGCTTTCCGGCACGTCCTGTCCGTCCGAGTCGGTGGACGTAGTCTTCAGCTGAACGAGGAAGACCGATTTGTATTACGTGAGTGACATTGGGGAAATCCAACCCTCTGGCGGTGACATCTGAGGAGAGCAAAAGAGCAGACTCGGCGTTTCGAAATTGTTGAGAATAGCGTGTACGTTCTTGTTGAGAGAGCTTGGAGTGCATTTCAAGAACCGCGCAGGGTTCAAGCGGATGCCTAGCGAACATGCTGCGTGCTGGCCCTTCAGCGCCTGCAGAGCGCATATTCTGCACCACCTGTTGTGCCAGAGCGACTTCGGCAGTAGAGTTGAAGAAGACAATGGCTTTAAAGGGTAAGTTGTTCTCAGGGTCATTCTTGTTCGCCTCGATTGCTCGTTTAGCCAGTTCCAGTAGTGCCGGCAGCTGGTTTTCAAGGCCTCGGAGGAAAGAGACGTGCTGTGGAATCCTGTCATGAGTAGGCGTCTCATCTGCCGCTACTGTGCGGACAAACTTGAAATCCGGACGAAGAGTTGTTCGGACCAAAGACACCACCTCCTTCGGCACGGTTGCGGAAAACATAAGCGTTTGTCTGGCACGTTCCTGTCTCCGGGGCATAAACGACTGTATCTCTTCGATGTCAGGGGCGAAGCCAATGTCGAGCAAGCGATCTGCTTCATCAAGAACAAACGTCTCAATATTGTCGAGCCTGACACCCGAATATCCGTCTGACAGTATGTCCTTGACACGCCCGGGAGTGCCAACAAGTATATGGCAACCCTCTCGCTGCATCAAACGAAGATGGTATGATTTTTGCGACCCACCAACAGCTGTCTGGACTTTAACGGCCGTGCCCCGTACGATCTTCTTTGCTTCTACGGCAATTTGTTCCGCTAGCTCACGGGTAGGGGAGATGATCAGGGCACGAATATCGTCAGCACTGGCGCGATTTTGGGTACGCGTCTCGAGGTCGGGATCTCGTAGAATACGCTGGACGATGGGCATGAGGAAGGCAAGTGTCTTTCCGGTACCAGTTTTAGCCTGGGCAATCACGTCGGCACCATCGAGACATTCGTTGATGGTCAGCCGTTGCACGTCGGTCATGGTGTGGATGCCCATGTCGTTGACAATAGTATCGATCACCTTTGGGGAGACTATGCCATGGTCTGCCAGGTCTTGAAACTTGGAGAACTGCTGCGGAGGCGCATTGGCTGGATTGTCCGCATATGCCTGTGCTGCGTGCTGTCTCCATGCGGGTAAAGAGGAGAATGCTCTCGCGGTTAACGACGAAGATGCGAGACTAGATAGTCGATGGTATATGTGTGGTCTGGAAAGGAATGATCGGGGTAAGGAGGTTGAGGATGAGGAAGTAATGCGAAGGACTTGCGAGAGAGCTTGTCTCTGGCGGAACGCGCCAACCATATTCAGATGAGGGATCGAGACCGGACTGACAAGTGGGACTCGGGCAGCAATCAAATCACCAATGTACAGAACTGGTCGAAGATTAAGGTTGCAGAGGGAAAAGACTCGGCTGCTGTAGGAGCAGTGGTAGAGGGTAGAGGGTAGAGTGTAGAGTGTAATAGAAATTGCTGACCCTGAAGCTCAAGTTGATCCTGTGAAATTTTTGGGCTGCCAAGCTCGCTACTATGACGAAAGCATCTTAGCCTCCGAGTCTGCCTTGGCGTGTGAACCATTCCTTTTTGAGCCTACTGGGTTTCTGCCACCATAGAGTCCTCCAAGTCATCGAATGCCTTGGTTGTTACAGTTGTTTACAATAAACAATAAAAAGACTTGACCACAAACACCAAGCACCAAGCCCCAAACACGCACAGCTCGACAGAGTTATTCCACTGCTCACCGCCCTTGTCGACAGTCATGGCCGTACTTCCAAGTCATGCCTTACCGCCTGATGCACCAATAACCGCTTCGTCATGACCATGGATAGTCTTCCGGCGCCATTGTTGCGTCCTGCTGCGCGTGCATCACAGCATGGTCTTGATGTTGTCACCGTCAGGGCGGGCACGGGAGAGACAACGCAGCTCTTCACGATCCACAAGAACCTTCTTTGTCAATCCTCTAGTTTCTTCAAATCCACCTTCAATGGCCGGTTCGCTGAGAGCGAAAGCAGCTACCTCGAACTGAAGGCAGTTGATCCGCTGACCTTTGAGGTTCTGTATCAGTGGCTCTATACGGGGTCTATGCGTGACATCCCCGGCTTTGCTGCAGAGTCCAATGTCGACATTGGTCTTCTCTGGCTACGCGTTTTCACCATGGCACATGAATATATGATAGACCAATTGCAGGAGAGCAGCTATCATTTCTTTCGCAGAGCCTTCCACGACTGTCAGCGCGTGGTGCCGTCTGTCCTCTGTGTGAGCGAGCTGTACCAAAGTGAGCTGCCCACCCATCTGGTGGATATGCTGCAATCATATCTGGTTCTGCACTGTGCATATTGGATCATGCACGAGTCGTGCAACTGCTGGGAGTGGGAGACTGTCTTGAAGCACCCTCACTTCGGCGCCGATGTTGCATGGGAGTTGACGAAGCGTGGCTCCAAGGACTATGTTGGAGTACAATCTCATCCTTGGTACAACGTCAAGTTTGCGAATCACAATGGCCGTGTCTTCCTCAAGAAAGATATGGATGATGAACCTGGTCTCCGGGAACCAGAATCTTCAGATGGCGAAGACTTTTCGGAATTGTACAGCCCTGCTAGTCAAGTTGGAGAAGATAATGAGAACGGCGCTGAAGCTGCATCTGACGACTGATCCCGACCATGATTTCCAGAACGCAGACATCAATAAAATTCTGGTGGTGAGGAAGCAGTGCAGCCATTCTTTGAGTATCTAAGGTGCAGGTACTAATACTGTGGCGTTTAGGAAACCACGGCAGAATCCAGCGTAGCTACAGAGTGTTGAAGCGATGAGTACTGTGTACGTTTATGTCTGTACTGGCAATCCCTTCACACTGGATTTGGCAGCACTCCAGCGGCGCCCAGGTTCAGTCACCGCGTACACATGAGTCGACCCGCAAAGGATCGGGGGTGGTGATTGTACAATGATTGTGCAACATGTCGTCTGATGTCTATCTCCAACGCTGACCTTTTACCTCTGTCACACCCAATATCAGCACAACGAGGGATTTCAACTCAATCGGTCTTCTAGATCTTTGCTTCTACTCTTCCAACTTCCATCCTGAGAGCAAGTACAGAACTTGTCGACCCAAACATGGACAGTCTTGAAGCATTTCATGATGATCTGGCCTGTTTTTGCTGTTTCCTAGTGTTCCTAGTGTTCGGACAAGAGCATGCTCCAATCCTTGCTGTGCCATCACCCGAGTGCTTCCTTTTGCTATCTTATGGTTGGCCCATGGTTGGCCCATGGTTGGCCAATGTTTGATGCAAGTGGTTGGTCTGCCTTTTCTGTCGATCCTCTTGCCCCACATTTTCGGGGAAAGTCAGAAGTCCAAAGTTCCTAAGGTTTGATGCGGGGAGCCGCGGTCTGCTCAACGTCAAATCCTAAATAGTACATGTTCCTAATTATACCGCTTGGTCAGCTTTGGAATTCAACATCTTTTCACCCATTCCTCTCTCCCTCCCCCCAAAACTATCCTGCATCCTTCTGCCCCAGTGTTTCTTTACTGTCACCAGAGAAACATCCTATCGTACTTCATCCCTTCTCCTATCCATCGGTCTGTGCGAATCACATCTCCAATCCACCATGGCACCACCCACCTCCACCATGACCGAAACCAGCACCGCTCCGTCACAGACCACCCCGCCCAAGGGCTTCGACAGCCCCGCCGCCCAACCCTCCGGCACAGCTCCCCACGAGCCCAAAGTCAATCGCCAAACTGCCAGCGCGAAGATGATGAAATTCCCCTCTCCACCCACCTTCAGCGACAAGCACGAGGAAAGAAAATACCTCAAAGGCCGCCTCGCCCTTGCCTTCCGCATCTTCGGCAAACTCGGCTACGACGAAGGCGTCGCCGGGCACATCACCCTCCGTGACCCCGTCGACCCCACCACCTTCTGGGTGAACCCATTCGGGCTGGCCTTCAGCCTGATCAAGTCCAGCGACCTGATCCAAGTCGACCACAAGGGAGACGTCATCGCTGGAGGAGAAAACCGGCTGCTGAACACAGCCGCCTACATGATCCACCACGCCGTGCACGCCGCGCGGCCGGATGTTCTGTGCGCCGCACACAGCCACAGCATCCACGGCCGCGCCTTCTGCGCCCTCGGCCGGGAATTAGACTGCATCACGCAGGACTCGTGTGCCTTTTACGACGACCACGTCGTGTATCGCCAGTTCAACGGCGTGGTGCTGGCGGAGGAAGAAGGGAAGGACATCGCGGCCTGTCTGGGCAATAAGAAGGCGGCGTTACTGCAGAATCATGGGCTTTTGACCGTGGGCCAGACGGTCGAAGCGGCTGTCTTCTGGTTCGTTAGTCTTGAGAAGAGCTGTCAGGCGCAGTTGATGGCGGATGCGGCGGCGCGGGGCCGGGGAGGCGAGACGGTCAAGATCGACGAGGAGGATGCCAGGTTTACGTACAAGACTGTGGGCAGTCCGAGGGCGGGTTGGTTCAGTGCCAAGCCGGCGTTTGATGTGATGGCGAGGGAGTGTGGGGAGGAGTACTTGCAGTGATTGATTCGGATTGAGTAGGCTGAGAATATGTAGTTGGTCGTTTATGTAGCCCGGGGAGGAAAGAGAGAGAAAGAGAGAGACAGGGATGACGCATGGGTTGGGTACATCCAACCTACCGACGACATCGAAAATCTTTCCGTTGGCGCTATGAGGGGCTAGATGTCTTTGACCCAACTTACACAAAACAGGGAGGCGAATCAATGGACCATAGAAAGGAATCCATCTAAGCATTGAAATGGTCATCGAGTCAAGAAAAAAGCCTGCCTGATCTGCCTTTCTTTCTTTCTTTCTTTCCTAAGACAAGATAAGATCTGCTCTGATCCCCTCTCGCACCCACCCATCCAACCCTCCTTTCTTCCTAGTTGGCAGAAAAAAACCATGGTATGCTTTCCCCTACACCGCAACCCACGGTGAGCACACCATCTCTTACTCTGTCTGCCCTCACCTTTGCCCTGATTTCTTTCCGCGA